GGTTGCGACACGGTCGCGCACACAGAGAGCGAGCGAGCGAGCGAGCTTGTCACACCGTTTGTACGGACGAGTATTGCTTTCTCTCAGGCCTTGTCGTTGTTGGGGGTTTTTTGTGTGTGTGTGTGTGTGTATTTCTCCGTAAACAAAATAAATGCAGAAATTCCCCGACACGATGATCACGTAAACATTGTGAACAGCCACGGCAAACTATTGCATCAACACTGAAGTGACTCTTATTTGCGTGTGAACTCTCAACACCGTCATCGTAACACTGTGTCCTTGTAAGTAAATTATATAATGCAGCAATAATAATAATAAAAAAAATAGGCGACGTTCTGAGCAAGCATGACTGTTTGTAGTTGAGTACTTCTACCAAAGAGGTATCACCAAATACATTCGTTTATTTGCGTAGTCAGACTCACAATCTTAATTTATTCATACTCAAGGAGGAATCCGATGAGGGGTGGGTCAGAACGTTACAACAAACAATACAAAAACAGGCGATAGCAGTGCAGAGTACAGTGCAGTGTCGGCAATCAAAATAACAAGAGGAACCGTTTTGTTCGAATTTGGTAAAACAAAAACAAAACTCAACATCTTCAAGAGCCGCAATGCGCGGGGAACTACGAGACGGCGGTTCTTTTGTCAACGACGTCGCGAAGCGGCGGTCCTTGAAGAGCCACACGCGGCCCTGGAGGTGCCAGTTGCCGGCCCTCTCCGCGTCACCCAAAACCAGATCCCTCCCTCTTCACCCAAATCCAGATCCCTCTTCATCCAAACCCAGATCCCTCTTCACCCAAACCCAGATCCCTCCCTCTTCACCCAAACCCAGACCCCTCCCTCTTCATCCAAACCCAGATCCCTCCCTCTTCACCCAAACCCAGACCCCTCCCTCTTCACCCAAACCCAGATCCCTCCCTCCTCACCCAAACCCAGACCCCTCCCTCTTCATCCAAACCCAGATCCCTCCCTCTTCACCCAAACCCAGATCCCTCCCTCTTCACCCAAACCCAGATCCCTCCCTCTTCACCCAAACCCAGATCCCTTCCTCTTCATCCAAACTCAGATCCCTCTTCACCCAAACCCAGATCCCTCCCTCTTCACCCAAACCCAGATCCCTCCCTCTTCACCCAAACCCAGATCCCTCCCTCTTCACCCAAACCCAGATCCCTCCCTCTTCATCCAAAACCAGATCCCTCCCTCTTCACCCAAACCCAGATCCCTCCCTCTTCACCCAAACCCAGATCCCTCCCTCTTCACCCAAACCCAGATCCCTCCCTCTTCACCCAAACCCAGATCCCTCCCTCTTCACCCAAACCCAGATCCCTCCCTCTTCACCCAAACCCAGATCCCTCCCTCTTCACCCAAACCCAGATCCCTCCCTCTTCACCCAAACCCAGATCCCTCCCTCTTCACCCAAACCCAGATCCCTCCCTCTTCACCCAAACCCAGATCCCTTCCTCTTCATCCAAACTCAGATCCCTCTTCACCCAAACCCAGATCCCTCCCTCTTCACCCAAACCCAGATCCCTCCCTCTTCACCCAAACCCAGATCCCTTCCTCTTCATCCAAACTCAGATCCCTCTTCACCCAAACCCAGATCCCTCCCTCTTCACCCAAACCCAGATCCCTCCCTCTTCACCCAAACCCAGATCCCTTCCTCTTCATCCAAAACCAGATCCCTCCCTCTTCACCCAAACCCAGATCCCTCCCTCTTCACCCAAACCCAGACCCCTCCCTCTTCACCCAAACCCAGATCCCTCCCTCTTCACCCAAACCCAGATCCCTGCCCTCTTCACCCAAACCCAGATCCCTCCCTCTTCACCCAAACCCAGATCCCTCCCTCCTCACCCAAACCCAGATCCCTCCCTCTTCACCCAAACCCAGATCCCTCCCTCTTCACCCAAACCCAGACCCCTCCCTCTTCACCCAAACCCAGATCCCTCCCTCTTCACCCAAACCCAGATCCCTCCCTCTTCACCCAAACCCAGCCACCCCCTCCCCTCCTGCGAAGGTTTTCCTGGGAAGTCGAGATTGTGTTCTGGGATCTGTCGTCCTAGTCGAGCTCTTGGACTCATTTATTTGTTGCGATAACGCTTTGTTTGTTTGTGGATTTTTTGTGTTGGTGGCATTTCTCAAATTTTGTTTTGCTTTGGAGTAGTAGGGGTTTCATTTGCTTGCTACTGGCTCGATATGGCATTCGGTCCTTATATATGTATGTCGAACTTCTTTCCCACCGTACGTAGCCAACCGTGCTAATTAATATAATAAAATGTACAGTGTTGTGTAGCATGAATGATTGATGCCATACAAAATCAAAGTATTATTCTTATTATAACGTCATACATGGGACATGTTTTCGTCAGTACAGGCTGTGTATTTTAAACCGTAACACTTTAGATAAATGTTATCGTCTTCTTTTCATTTCTTTGATGCTTCAAGAGTGACCTTCGGTCCCCGCAGCAGTAGACAGCGCCAGTTTCCTCCTCCCGCTGGCAGCGAGAGTAATGTTCAACGCATGACAACAAAACCGATATTTTTCACTTTCACAGCCGGAATGATGTAGCCAAATTAGTAAAGCGGTGTTCACACAACGTGTTTTCACTATGACGCGGACCACCTTCTATTCGGGAGCACTTTTCACACGACGTGGAACATATCCTGTTATAACACGGAACGCGTCCGTTATAACGTGCCCGCTATAACGCGGAACACGCCCGTTATAACGTGGAACACGCCTGTTATAACGTGGAACACGCCTGTTATAACGTGGAACATATCCTGTTATAACACGGAACGCGTCCATTATAACGTGCCCGCTATAACGCGGAACACGCCCGTTATAACGTGGAACACGCCTGTTATAACGTGGAACACGCCTGTTATAATGGGGAACATATCCTGTTATGACTCGGAACGCGTCCGTTATAACGTGCCCGCTATAACGCGGAACACGCCCGTTATAACGTGGAACACGCCTGTTATAACGTGGAACACGCCTGTTATAACGTGGAACATATCCTGTTATAACACGGAACGCGTCCATTATAACGTGCCCGCTATAACGCGGAACACGCCCGTTATAACGTGGAACACGCCTGTTATAACGTGGAACACGCCTGTTATAACGTGGAACACGCCTGTTATAATGGGGAACATATCCTGTTATGACTCGGAACGCGTCCGTTATAACGTGCCCGCTATAACGCGGAACACGCCCGTTATAACGTGGAACACGCCTGTTATAACGTGGAACACGCCTGTTATAACGTGGAACACGCCTGTTATAACGTGGAACACGCCTGTTATAACGTGGAACATATCCTGTTATAATACGGAACGCGTCCATTATAACGTGCCCGCTATAACGCGGAACACGCCCGTTATAACGTGGAACACGCCTGTTATAACGTGGAACACGCCTGTTATAACGTGGAACACGCCTGTTATAACGTGGAACATATCCTGTTATAACACGGAACGCGCCCATTATAATGGGCCCGCTATAACGCGGAACACGCCCGTTATAACGTGGAACACGCCTGTTATAACGTGGAACACGCCTGTTATAACGTGGAACACGCCTGTTATAATGGGGAACATATCCTGTTATGACTCGGAACGCGTCCGTTATAACGTGCCCGCTATAACGCGGAACACGCCTGTTATAACGTGGAACACGCCTGTTATAACGTGGAACACGCCTGTTATAATGGGGAACATATCCTGTTATAACACGGAACACGTCCGTTATAACGTGCCCGCAATAACGCGGAACACGCCCGTTATAACGTGGAACACGTCTGCTATAACGTGGAACACGCCTGTTATAATGGGGAACATATCCTGTTATGACTCGGAACGCGTCCATTATAACGTGCCCGCTATAACGCGGAACACGCCGGTTATAACGTGGAACACGCCTGTTATAACGTGGAACACGCCTGTTATAATGGGGAACATATCATGTTATGACTCAGAACGCGTCCGTTATAACGTGCCCGTTATAATGTGGAACACGCCTGTTATAACACGGAACACGCCCGTTATAACACGGAACACGCCTGTTATAACACGGAATTTGTCCTGTTATAGCGTAGAACGCGTCTGTTATAACGCAGAACGCGTCCATTACAGTGCATTGTGGGATGACTGCAGGCTGATTGCACTGTGCGAATGTGCTTGAGTACAATATATATTTTTGCACAGTCACCGGTGAGCGGCCTGAGACCATCGACTCGCTGTGCTATTAAACTCGGATTTTAATCGCAGGGTGATCGAACCCCAGATTAAAATCCGCAGGATGTCAGCGGTGTTGGCTCAGCACTCTGACTTGTGAACCCGGTGGCCACTTCACGTCGGGGGGTTTCCTGCTACAAGTGCGTGTTGTTAACGTTGATCATTTCAATGCAACGGTTGAGGCTGGCCTTTTTTAAGCATGGGAACCCATGGAAATCGAGCACTTATCGAAAAGGCTGTTGCAGCGTATTTGCACATCACATGAAGTACAGTGCAGCAGTGTGTCCTCAAATATCCTTTGCTGTACCCACACACAAAGACAAAGATCCGCGTACGGTGGGGGTGAATTGTGGGCGCTCACACCTCTGCCAGCTTGCAAGAGTAGGCCAAATGCCCTCTGGATCGGTACTCTAAACGCTCCCTCCAGTTCGGCGTTTCTCAAACTTTTTTTTTGGTCCGCGGTCCACTCGGCTGATGCTCACATTTCGACGAAACCGACCCCACCTGCTGGTCGGAGGTGCGGGCGAAGGAATCGAATTTGCTCCTGTCACACGGCCCTTTCCCCTGCGATGAGTATTCTCACCGTCTCGAAGGAGGCGTTTTTGGAGTTGGCTCGGGCCCGCGCGGCGGGTTTGGCGAGCGGATTTCGCAGGAGCGCTCCCTCCGTTGGTTCGCGTCGCGGGTTCATCCGTCGCGCCGTGGCCAACAAACGTCCTGCGTTGCATTTCCCGCTGACGTTCGTCGCTTCGCTCTCATGGCAGGAGGTCAGGCGGAGGAACGGCTCCAGCGTGGACAGACGCCAAGACACCGAGGAGCTGATGTACAAGACCGTATCGACGGACAACGTAAGTTTAAACATTTAAAAAAGCAATGTCTTTAAGTACTTTGTCACTCGGTTACGGTACTTTCCTGCCCACTGGGCACGTAACGACAGATAGAGGATCGCCGATTGCAATTGATTTGTTACACTCGCGATACGTGCATCAGATTGCGCGTGCGATGGTCTATAATTTGCACTTTGTTCCTATCGTTTGCAAATGGCATTCCAATGTCACGTTTAGGACAGTGGCGAGAACAAAATTGTGGATATGAGACGCAAAAATGCAGGGAATAATTCGAGATGTTTAAATGTAAAGGCACAGCCCTGAAATTAACCTGCTCACGTCACTGCTGGTGGATGGGGCCTCCGCTCGAGGGAGCTCCAGAGAGACCCTCCACAGGGAACTTGGCTCAGCCATCGGACAAAGACGGTGGCCACCGCATCGCACGTTTTCAGATGCGCTTCTGCGGCCCGTCTGGAACGCTCTCCCTTCCGATTTTAGGAAGCCACCGGAGCTATGCACATTTAAATCATCTAGATTGAAAACTCGTTTCTTTAGAACTGCTTTTCCTGTTTTTAGTTCGTTGTCCTTCCTCCGCACCTCCGTTCAGTACGGTTGGCTAGGTACGGTGCGAAAGAAGTTCAACATTTAATCTTGATTTAAAGCTTTCATGACTGCAGGAATTCATCGCTAAAGTCACGTAGATACGTTCAAATTAATATTTTATAAATTTGAACCTATCCACGTGACTTTACCGAAAGACCCAAAGAATATAAGTTCAACATACGTCCATTCATGCAACATACATACACTCCGCGCGAGTCTGTGGGCCTCTGTGCGTCTACCTGAGTCTACGAGTCTCTGTGAGGCCGTGGGGTCTCGTCGTGAGAGGAGCGCTCGATGACGAGGCCACTGGCCGAGCGCATCCCGCGCTTGCTCAGCGAAGAGCTCGCCGCTTCAGCAGCGCTCGCCGGGCATTACGCGAGGCCACCGCTTCCTTGGCAGCAATTCGGAGGCGCGTGCGCGACTTGTGAGCGACCCGATTTGCGTTGAAATGGTCAGGACGTCGTTGTACAAACGCGGAAAGGCGGACAGCAGGGTGGGTCACGACGAGTGGAGTTTGAAAGACCCCCCCCCGCCCGCCCGCCACTGGTGAAGGGTGAGCGCACGGGCGAGCTGAATACATCGCTTCGACACGGCCAGTCTGGCCTCGCGTACTGGATGGGGCGGGGGGGGGGGGGGTGTCAACTTGTTTTATGACAACAAGAAACAAAACAAAACATGGTTTGAATAGGAGTTGCGTGGAAACGGCTGGACAGATGTTGCGCCGCTTACCGCGTCAACTTGCAGCGGCAGCGGCAGCAGCAGAGAGGGAGAGATTTTAGCGGGGTGCGCGCGGCCGCGTCAAACAAGCACAGCGCCCGCAAATAAAGGGTTATTGCCTGGTGACAAAGCTTGCAATGTGTCCGTATAGGTCTTATGGTTGTTGTTTGTTGTTGTTCGCTTGCACCACATTGATTTTTGCACACAGCGTTTTAATACGGCTTTTTGCGTGGAATATTTGCTGGTTTATTCCAGGATGTTTATGTTACGCGTTGTCGCTTTAAGATGTTCTTTGTTCAAATTCTGTTTGTTGCGGTTGCACCCGACTTAAGAGCCGCATGGCTCACAGGGCTATACCTAATAAATGAAACTTGAAACTTGAAGGTGCCGGCTTACTACTCAGCGCCATGCTAAACACACACACGCCGCTCATTTAAATGCGCACGGGGTAATTCGTGAGCAGTGTTTGGTTGGCGAGGGTTAAAAAAAAACGTACGCGTTGTAAATGGAACGCGTCGGAGAGTACGTCCACCGAGGAGATGGAACAATGAATTTGGTTTCGTATGCAGGTGGATAATTACGCAGCAGGATCGTGAGAGGGTGGGTGGCTTTAGGGTCGGGTCTTCATCCAGCAGTGGATTGACCATGGCTGATGATGATGATGATGTTATTGTGTAAAAAGTGTGGGGCGTGGAGGGGGGTCTGTCTGTGTTTGAATTATTGAACATCTTGGAACGTAAATTAAATCGTTAACTTGCATGAGCCTCTCAACGAGACGATTGTAATGAGTCTAACTTTGTGGGTGATCAATCAACATTGGGATCGTTTCGCACCCGCGAGTGTTAGAATTGACTGCCCAATTAGCTGCACTTTAGTCACCGACAACACACTCTCGATCAAGCGCGCAGTTGGGATGAGTCATTTACTTTCAACGTATATTAGTAAAAAAAAATATCATGCTTCATTGAAGTTTACATGTCTATTCAAATCAAACAAATCAAGGTTCTTAGCTCTTTCGGTAAAGTCACGTTGAAGGGAAACAATAAAATAAGAAAAAAAATATATAAAACAATAAAAATTCTCACGACCGTTTGTGTTATGGTAGAAACGTCGTGAGAATTTTTATTGTTTTATATATATTTTATTATTTTATTGTTTCCCTTCAACGTGACTTTACCGAAAGAGCTAAGAATATGAATTACTGCAGTCACGAAAGCTTTAAATCAAAACAAATCAAGGTGTCAAAGTGCGGTCCTGCAATTCCTAGCTCAGCGCACTCAGAGAGCTCTGGAGAGAGTGGTCCCATTCGAGGCTATTTGGACTCCTCAACCACGCTGGACAGACGTCGTTGAAGACCCATCATAATATATTTCAAAAAGTTGTGGCTGTATCATTCGTGTCGATTAGTGCCCGGATGTTCCGGCACTTAATAAATATAATCTCATTTTTTAATAGCGCCTTAGCTCAAGGCACTGTACGTAGTTCGAAAGCGGTTACAAAAATCGAGTGATTTAGATGGCAGGGGCAGTGCAAGGGTTGAGAAATGAGTGGCCGTAGGGCACATGGGGGTCACGACAGGGTTATAGGGGATGGGATGGTAAGGAAGAGGAATGGAATGGGCAATGGAGAAGAGGTTAAGTTCTTAGGTAACAAAAGTAGGTCAAGGAGGGGGACTGCTTAACGTACAGGGGAACTTTATTCCGCCTGTGTGTCCTGTTTTTGCCAGGATCTCGTGGACTGGAGTAAGGCCCTGCTGTGGCAGGTGGGACACCTGGGAGACAAATACAACGAGTGGGTGCACCAGCCGGTGGATCGCCGCATCCGCCTCTTCGAGTCCGACTTTCTCGAATTCTGGAGCAAAACAGCGTGGTGAGTCGCGCCGGTGGCAGCAGTAGCGGCTCGTCTTCATGGGGAGATGGGGCCATGCCCCACCTAATGGATGTAATGATACAAATAATGTTAACTTATTTAGAGAAAAAACACCCATCAAATAAAAAAAGTTCAGCAAAACAAGTGGGTGGATTAAGGCCGTGTGTTTACGATTCATTAAGTTTGCATGGATTTGGAAGCAATTAATTGAAACAGAATTGAAATATGAAATTTTGGAAGTTGCTTCGACATGACCGTGGCTATTCTGTAATCTCATTGGCCGATTCAAACCCACTCCCACGGAGCGGTCGGACCGAAACGAAAGGGGGGGGGGGTGGAGATTGGGTCTGGGGACGCAAAAATTCCACCGCTGGCCAATGCCAACCGCCATCCCAAATCAATAACGTGGAGACGCCCGCACAGAGCGCCCACAAACATTTGACCCCTCGGGTTGGCGGGCCCGAGAAACTGGAGCCACTGCCGTGCCTGGCCTTGGCGTCGTATATTAAATATTGTGTGAGCGATCTCCCCCACCGCCCCCTCAACCGCCAGTCACAGCGACTCGATCAATTCCCGCGAATTGGGAGGTCGTGAATTGATTTTTACATTTAACAAAAATATTTTTCGTTTCGTTTTCACCTATCCCATTGGTATTGTCTAGTAGATTTTTTTTACTCCTGTTTCATACAAATTTGTCCACTCCCATTGGTCACACTTCCCTAAAAGTTTGATATTCTATGATTTTTAATCTGTTGTGTATTATCGGTTCTTGTACGCAGGATTCTGTGCGTTTTTTCGGGAGCAGAGTAAACAATTATAATCGAGAAATCGATGCATCTCTCGTACTTGCATTCACTCACAATAGTGATTAGCAAATGGAATTTAAATGTCTGATTCGTTTTCAGGATATGTTTGGGGAGTTGGATGAAAGCAGTGTATCCGCATGTGTTTTGTTTTAAGGAAATGTATCATTTGTGTGATTGTACCTTGGTAAACATATGAACTTGTCAGCAATAAAACGTTCTAGATTTAAAGCTTTCGTGACTGCAAGTATCCATACTCTTTGGTTCTATTGGGTAAAGTCACGTAGGTAAAACAAATAAAATAACAAAAATCACGACGTTTCGGCCACAACACAAGCGGCCTTCATCAGGTGAAGGGACGAGACTGTCGGGAGGACAGCGCTGGAGTGAAAAAAGCCACGCTCAGATCACGACCTTGCGCGATCACGACCTTGCGCGATCACAAGCTTAAAGGTCGTGATCTGAGCGTGGTTTTTTTCACTCCAGCGCTGTCCTCCAGACAGTCTCGTCCCTTCACCTGATGAAGGCCGCTTGTGTTGTGGCCGAAACGTCGTGATTTTTGATATTTTATTTTTTTACCTACGTGACTTTATCCAATAGAACCAAAGAGTGTAGCAATAAAATGTCTTGTTTTTGTTCAGTCATCTCCTATGCGTGTTGTTTTATTATTCCTGTCGATTGCAATAAGCCCTCTGCATCATCTCTTGGACCTTTGCCGTTGTCGGCATCGTAAAACATTTATTGTTTTAACACCAATAAACACGTGGAATCATTTCTGATTTTTAAACCACTGCAGCCTTATCCGACTTCAAAAAATCAAATCATTAGTCAAAATAAGTCTGCATTAAAAGGAACAACAACAACAATATACAACGAGGCGATGAATATGTTGAGTTTCTTTGCTCATTTGTGCGTCGCCAAATAATCAATCGAACATCGCTGTGTTTAAACGTCACACTCTATTATTGGAACGCCTTTTTAGTGCGATCTTGGCGAGCCCTCGGTGAGCCCGCGCTTAAATGACTCAATCGTCAAACGCTCCAGTCACCCTCCCCGATTGTCTATCTTGGGCTCATTGACCGCGGGGCTAAGCACCCCGCTCCTGCCTATGTGATGCATACTTGTGTAAGTGGTACTGCGAACACCGCGGGGGCCTTGCGACATCGCGGCGCCTGACCAACTCCACCATCAACCATCAGCGCTCGCATCACTCTCAAAACCTGACCGGTTTCTTCACCCCACGCCCACCCCCGGCGTTTCCCCAAAGCTCACGCCACCGCGGCGTTTGCGTAACGTGCGACCCAACCATTGTGTGTGGCATCACAGGTACGTGATACCGCTGGTGTGGATACCCATCATCGTCTACATGGGCTTGTCGAGCTACCGGGGTCTGCAAGGCAACCAAATCCGCGTGTTCACCACGTTCACAGGTGGGTGGTCGGGCAAAGCGGGCGGGGTCAGGCAATGCAAGCTCAAAGAGCTCGCACAACTCAGCCAATCCGAGGGGGGGGGGGGGGGTGAGGGGCCGCCGCAACGGGCGAGAGGGTGGGGTGAAATTTACAGACGGGACAAGGTGATAGAGAGAAAAAAATATATGAAACTTGCATTTACTTGCAAAATCCATCCCAAGCCACGCTCAATTGCCCTTGGGTTGTGCCCACCACAGGCGTGTGTGGCCACTGGTTGCCGTGGCTCTCTCGCTACATTTCCTCCTGCCTCAGCAGTCTGCCTGCTGTGTTGTTTCACCTGAAAACGATGGCTTGTGTTGCAATCGAAACGTCGTGATTTAGTAGTTATTTTTCTATCGACGTGACTTCACCGAAAGAACCAAAGAGTATGAATTCCTGCAGTCACGAAAGTTTCAAATCAAGATTGACACATTTATATATTTATGTGATCTAACCCAAAAAACCCTGTATCGTGGAAACACTGTGTCGAAACCGCTCGAGATGTTAACTCGTCTATCGAAACAATACCGCTGAATCTGTGCGCTCCCAGAAGGCTGTGCATTTTTTTTTAGATTTCACGTGAAGGAGACATTGTCTGCTTACTTATTTATCCTGTAAAGGATAGTTTGGCCCGCTCTTCCATGCTGGGCAGGCATCTTGGGAAAGGTGGCATTACTAATTCTTCACCCCGCTACATGTTACTATGTGCGCAAAGGTGGCAGGAAAGGCCTGAAAAGGGCAACGTGGTTAACACGCTTAACGTTTGTAATCCCCCCATTTATTTTTTAAAGAAATAAAAAAAATATTAGCCCACACGTCCTTTGAACGTGACCGTATGTCCGTCAAACTCTTCCTCCGGCCAGTCAGCACATTGTTTTATAATGATATCGTTAAAATACCTGGCATAGAACGACGGTCTTCACCCACTCCCCCCAAGGTCCCCACTGTCCCACCGCTGGGTACCCCCTCTCACGCGTGACAACCACCAGGCCCCCCCCCCACCAGCACCCGCAACCCCCCCCCCCCCAACGCACTCCTCACGCACCCCCCCACCCACACTTCCCCTTGGGTGCTCTCCCCCCCCACGTCCCCCCACAGTGCGCCAGCCAGACTGTTTTCTAATATTGCACGCCGTGCCCATGATGACCCTAAACTATGTGTACAACTTGCTCGTGACATTTTTGGGCCACATGAGAAGGTCTCTCTAAGTGATTGTTTTGGTTCTTTTGGCGGCTTTCGTCTTTAAGGAGTTGCCAAATCCGTGATCGGCGGTTCTGCTGTTGTTGTGGATCTGGGCTTCATTTCCATCCACGCGGTGCACCGCTCACGTTCGCAATCTGAACCTTGACCCGGCACATGCATGCCCACTCTTGCCCCCCCCCCCCCCCCCACGTTTGCTCCACCGTCAGACGGAGGAGTCAACGTGAGCCAGGATTGGTTCGCGTGCCTCTTCACCTTCGGCTTCTTCATGTGGTCCCTCGTCGAGTACTCCCTCCACCGCTTCCTCTTCCACCTCACGCCGCCGGCACACAGCTACCTCCTCATCACGCTGCACTTCCTGTTGCACGGGCAGCACCACAAGGTGAGCCTGCCCGAGCGCGCGCCGTGACCTCGTGTCATTCTTGACACCAGGGCCCGTGCCAACCGTGTCCCTGCTTAACCCTTTCCCATTCCGAGACGTCTCCAAGTTGTAAGGTGGGTGTCCCGTTCACCACTGAATCTCGGAACGCACGAGCGGTTAGCGTTAGTTGAATTTATAGAGGCGTACCGCCATTATTTTTAAAGACGGTGTACTCACCGCAGAGAACTGTAGTGACACGACCGCACTCCATGATAGCTGGCGCCAAGCTGTGCCGCGCGCCTTCCCGCATGGCCTTGTGGGAGACTCGGTGCCGACAAAGTTATTTTATTTCAGCTTTTCTTCTGGTTCTGGTAAGCTGTCAGTTAATACACATGTTGCCTGTAATTGTGCCAGCTGATGTTTGTCTCGAACAACAATGCTAGAATCGCACGGTAGACATTATTGCAGGCTCGATGGAGTAGCTATCGAGCATGCAGACGGTACAACTGCATCCCGGCCTACAGGCTGGAGGAGGCCACGTGCCGGGCAACAGTGAGGGGAAGAGAAATCGGACTGAGGTTGGCCAAGTTTCATTCCTTACACAGGGGCCCATGCTGCCAACCACGCTGCTCCACTGCTGGCCACGCAGGCGTCTTGTTTAAAATATCGTTATAATTATTGCGGCCGGGTTAATCAATGTCCCCCCACACACGCGAGACCGAGCGCTTCACGGCGGTAATGTTTATTTGTTTACGACGCACCGATCGGTCGTCGTATGAAAGACAACGAGCTGATCGGCACAACATGCTCAGCCAGCTGATGGGCATTGCTTTGACTTGCCTAAGGGCTGCTGCAGGGGATGCTATCACGTGCCTTTCCCCTCCTTCCAGCCGTACCATTCAACTTTGTCCGCCGAGCTCTGTCTAAATTTACACGTAGGTGACGTTGCCTCTTGGTTGTCGGGGATAGCACATTGGACTTGCAACCCAGGAGTTGCGGGCTTGATTCGATCTCTCGGTGCAACGTATGTATGTGCGTACAGGCGCTCCTCTACTTACCGACGAGTTAGGTTCCAGAGGTCTGTTTGGAAGTCGATTTGTTCGTAAGTCCAACTTTACTCCTGTCGATTCCAAACATGTTGTACGACATGTACACTAAACACGGGGAATGTCTTTAAAAGTAGTACAATCTCATTTTGATGTAGATGCCACTGGTGACATCCACATGGCATACGGACAGATTTATTCATATCTCTGAAAGTTCGTAAGTCGAATGTTCGTAAGTAGAGGAGTCCTTGTATGTTGAACTACTTATGCAAGCGTACGTAGCCAACCTCACTAATCGGAGGTGTGGTCCGGGGACCACACTTTGACAACCACCGCTGGAGCGGGAAGCCCTTCCACCAGTAGCGGTGCGAGCTAGCTTGGCTGGCTGGGATTGAGGCCGGGTCGATTGCAGCGGCGCCCGACGACAACCCTGACGCCGTGACCCCTCCGCCGTGCGTCCCGCTCCCCCAGTCGCCGTTCGACGGCTCGCGCCTCGTCTTCCCGCCGGTGGCGGCCTTCTTCTTCGTGGCGCCCTTCTACTCCTGGATGCTCACGATGCTGCCCAACGCCGTGACGGGGTCGCTCATGGCCGGCGGCATCTCGGGCTACGTGATCTATGACCTGATGCACTACTACCTGCACTACGGCGCTCCCAGCCGCGGCTCGTACCTCTACTCGCTCAAGGCCTACCACATCAAGCATCACTTCGAGCACCAGGCGCTCGGTGAGTGGCCTCCCGTGCGGCGGTCGGAACACCGAGCCAGCCATTGTCGCCCACTTCCTCGTCGCTCGCCGGCGGACAGACCCCGCGGCTCGTCGTCGCTGTAGAGCGCCGACACGTTGAGCTCTTCCTCACTTCGGAGCGATTGCATTGGACGATGAGGCCTTCGTTACTCCGGAGGGATTAAACACTCGGCCCACCGTTTGTTGTTGTTGCTGTTGTTGTTGTTGTTGTTGTTCGAGAATCAGATGAACATTTGGCTCGGCATTGTTCTCGCGCAGCACTCAGCCCATCGTCACTAAAGCAGCTAAGGACACGGCCTATCATCACGACAGTGGCTACACACTCGGCTCATCATCACTATAGCAACTAAATACTTGCTCCGGTGTTGATCTAGGTTGGCAGATCCCTAAGCTCATTACTCTTGAGCAGGGGTGGGGAAGTCATTTGATACACGAGGCCTACCCACTTGGAAGCGACTCCCAAACTGTTTAACCGTCACTCCATCAGATGGTGGGGCGGGATATTTTCAACACGACAGCACTGTGTTTCCACTTCTTATTCACTTACACACTTGTGTCGCCACTGCGAGGGACTGCTTTGTACTTGGTCGACACGCACGTTATTTTTCGCGAGACTGTACGGGAACTTTAAGTTGCGTCCGAATGTGAGGTTGTCTGCATAATGTACTGGAAAGTCTTATCCGGCTGTCAAGAAGTGGTTCGCACGGATTCCCTAGAAAAAAAAAACCCTTGATGGATTTTACCCAGGGGTTTCGTGACGTAGTTACTTTGTTCTTGTTGTGAGCAACACTGCAGAGGTGAATTTGTGATGAGGGATTTTGTGACGTGGTGTCGTTTGTTCTTCCCCCTGCAGGGTTTGGGATCTCGAGCAAGCTCTGGGACTACCCTTTCCGTACACTCATCCCAGAGGAGACCTTTGAGAAATCCCGATAATGACGACCGAGAAAATGTTGCCGAAATATTTTTGCTTGCTGTCGGGTTTATTTTTTATTTGATCTAATTATTTAAAAATCATGATTTAAATTGTCAGAGAGCGTCAGTTGTTAATGTGTTGACATTGAACTTTAATTATTTTATATTTTTATATAATTTCCGTATAAGTACAATATACTGTTGTCTGTAAATACTTTGTTCATCTGGCTTTTCCTCATTCCACGAAGTAAGGTGTGTTGCTATTCTGCGAACGGGGCATAAAAATGCTATGTATATGGAATTGATGGTTGAAGTAAATGGAGACTGACAGACCATGACTGGGACTGCCTTAAGATCATAAATAACTTCGTTATTCGCATAATTCTAACAGCTGTGTTTCAGAGACGCGTGTAGTCTGCAGTAGGTTCACAATACAGCCGGGGGGGGGGGGGGGAGTGGGGGGGGGCATTCCTGCCAGGTGTTTCGCAACTGAGAGATTAAAACCAAGGATACCTCCGGCCCATTGCTTTCCATCACTGGACATGAGAACGCATCGCTCCTGACAATGAGTCGTCTTCGCGTGACAGGGCGTTTGGTGTCGGGGGTCATTAGGGGCGAGTCGCGTGTTTTTTTCTTTTCTGAGCGGAGAGTCTGCGCTGTGGTTTGGAGGAAGTTGTCGCTGTAAACTTGTCGTGAAAAAAAATATATCCGATTGTGTTTTAAACAATGCAATTCCTTGAAGGAGCTGCCCAGCAAACGTGAAGCGAATCGTCGGACATCGTGCCGAACAACCTGAAGACTCATCGGAGAGACGGAGCTGTACGGCTCGACCGGGATAACCTGGCGCAGTTTGATTGCTTCTCAACCTTATCGGTCACCGCGGACAATGACTCTCGTTTTCTTATCTCCTTTGGTGCCTAATTTTTATGCACAGACCACAACTGTGGACCCCTATTTTTGTGGAAACCCCTGGGTGTGCTTGGGTCAACACAAGTTGTCGTCAGGGCGGGGTTCGGGTAGTGGAGAGAGAAGAGGCAAGGGTTCGTTCAAACTTTACTGCGGGCGGGGAACATTTCCATCATCTATAACATCTTTTAAGATGGGCGATTCATTGAAAGGTCATTAACTGGTATTTCTGAACGGTCTAAATGTGCGTGTTTTTAGTGTTTGTTTGTGGTGAAAATGGGTGGTGGATATCCACTAAGGTTTGGTATCTACATATGGATTTAAATCAACTGTGCAATGTGTTGCTTGTACTTAAAATTATTGATTGAGTGGCAGGCCTTGTTATAGCTTTGAATTTAGGTTATCCTGTCACTCAGTTTACACACATCATAAAAATAAGTGTCCCAACAAATTATTTAAAGTGCCTGAACTCTCCTCTTTTATTTTGTCAATTATTTTGTTGGTATTTTTCGTGTGTCAACCAAAGAAAACCCAGAATTATTATTTCTCACATTCTAAGTGAAGCAGACTGACACATTTCAACGTTGCAAATCACAAAGTCTATGTTTAAGCAATTGAAACGCAGTCGTGACTTCTGCTGACGATAATTCAATGCAGGAATGCCTGTGTAGAATACTTGATGTTTCAATAATTGCGGATTCAAATAACATTGTGGTTTGGTGCAGCAGCCTCCAGTTTCTGAATGGATCGTGCGGACCGATTGCAGTGTGAATTGATGAAACATCTTTTCTTACACCTGCTGTGTGCGATGCACCTGACGTGAGTTTCACAACGAATATTAATCTATACATCGCGCCTCCATAAAACGCATTTTACTTATCACAAAACAGCGAACGTGTAAATTGTTATCGGCAACAATAATTACATGGGTAATTAATTTACAAAAACGTTTACTTATGACCACGTAATTGTACATATATATTTTTGCTTAACAAAAACATGAAGTGTATGTTTTTTTTTTACACCAGTTATTTGTACAGGAATTGGTTAAGTGCTTTGTACCATGGAGATGGCAGCCTGGGTTTGAGCCCTCACCATGGCTATCACCAGTGGCGAGTGATATCTGAACCCATCCTGAGCGACACGGGGTTGTACATTATTATTATTATTGTATATTAGAATTTGAGCAGTTGCTTTTAATGATCGCCTCCACGGTCCGGGAGTAATGGAGACACCGTCACCCTGATGACGCATGTTGTACTGATGGGCCCCAAGAGAACGAGTGACCCAGAACATTACAGAAGATGAAGTAGTATCCTATTCCTCCACGTGTTGTTCTCACAATTGAGCACCACACGTGCATGAATGCACTCTCTCCAGAGGCTTTGCCAAAACTTGGTACAGGTGGATAAATTGCCCTACAATGAGAGTTGCTGCGATATAGCGATGTAAAGATATACATCATTCGATATTTAAAAAAACACGACAATCATTTCGTCCTTTTTGCAAAATATCATCTTATGGCGTGGTGATAATCGCTCATTAAAATATATATTTTTTAAGATTCATGAAAATAACGTGACGATTAAGGTTTTAAATAACGTAGCTATTAGCCGTAACATTGTTTTGGTAAAATATTTATGGAGTAATCGATGGCGTGGCAATTATGAGACGTGACAACGTTTTGTAGTTCATTTGGTCATTTTTAGAGTAAGGGACAGCACGTGCACGATGGATTTTAATGATTACAACGATGCCCGGCAGGCTTTAGTTGAGGAGTGAACTGCAGTTGAAGAACATTTAAGTAACCTTTATTTCTCCTGGAAGTGCAGGAAAGTACATAAAAAATATATAGTTATTAGAAACTAATATCGCAATAATCGTCACGTTGTTGAACTTGGAATTGTATCACAGAACACTATATCGCGTCAACCCCTGTCAACAACCCACGACATGGGACAGGATCACTAGATACGACTTGAAAGTGATTGTGGAAATGTGCCGGGTGTTGCCACTTGTCCCGGTTTATCTGGGATGACGTGCTTGCGAGGTCAATTTCCATCCGTCTGTCTCTCACAGAATGTTTAAAGTCTCGGGTTTTTTTTGTCAGTTGCGAAGAAATGCACCACTCAGAACCAATGCATTTCGATGTTGCTCCTCTCTTGCGGGATTGCGTGACGTATTCTTCATCTGCGAGTGTTTTTTTTGTTTAACTCGAAGGTGGCAACCCCTACTTGTGCCTTGTCGAATACTTTTGGAACTATGGAGTGCAGCCGTTTGTAACAGCTTGTCAATGATTGGCTGCTTATCGCCATGTGACCATGGCATGCATCGTCATAAAAAAAAACGTTTATCAATTTGAGCTTAGAGCTTTTTTATGGAAGTGTTGTGTTTGCCCCGAATAAAGTGTTTGTGTGAGGGTTTCCTTAATTTCTAACCGCACTCTTTCATTTGCACAGTCTGTGTGATATCTATAAAATATATGGGGGGTTATTGTTCAGTCATAAATCAACTTAATTATGATTATTGGCAGTTCTACCCATGTTAGCCTCGTGTATGATAATATTTACAGATGATGCAGTTGCTTGCCCAGTGTGCTATGAATCCGGCCACTTGAGTTAGATACCAGGCCACGACTAACCTCAGTGGCGAACGATACCTGAACCTGTTGTTGGAACCCTCTTCATGGTGAAGTATGTTCAAATAACCCCCATGACAAACATGGCATGGGGAGGCTTTTACCCAGACTTTAATTGACAAAGAGATGCAAATGTATTATTCATTCTTATGATTATTATTTCCATTGGGATGCGACTAATAGCAATACATACGAAATAATGAATTATCCTGCTTCCTAATCGTAAGCCAGTGCATGGTACAATATTTTACAAGCCACCAAAATAACCGGCTCGCGATAACACCAACGATTGCTGCCATAACCTTATGGTCAATGAGATAATACCGTCTCTAGGCAGGTTTGTTTGCCAGCATACGCAGCCACGGCCAATGACCCTACGTGACTGAAAAAAAATACATACAAGTTTTAGTGTGATTGTGAAATGGTTATCAAGTGGAGCCTTTGTGCTGTTTGCACGTAGCTCTTCGTGCGCGCGTGCCCGTGGGGGTGACCTTGCTCCCGACACGTTACACACCCGAGAACTCCTTTTTACTGTCAACCGCAGCTTCATGCACAGGAAATGTCTGAACGTGTCTAAACATCGACGTCGTAAACGGCATTTATATTCCTCTTACAAACAAGGTTGAGAGCACCGTCTCGTGCGTTTGTCTGTGTCCCGTTTTCACTGTCCGTAACGTGAGGTCACGATAACTGTCGTACGCATGTTCCAATGTAGTGAGATCCTACAATTTTCATATCAAGGCTCTATGACGCATTCAACCACTATTGAGTTGTGACATAGCCAACACGGTGGCGTGTAGCATTGTATCGACAAGGCTCGATTATTGCAACTCACTACTCTACGGGACGTCTGTCAACAAAACGTGACCAAGCTGCAGCGTGTACAAAATTCTCTCGCACGTGTCGTGACGGGTACTGCAAGATCCGACCGTTTCCGTCCAGTGCTCGCCGAGCTGTATTGGCTTTCGGTTGCCGAACGAATACGTTATAAGGTTGCACTCATCACACAACAAAGTGCTTGCCACAAACAAGCCACAATACCTTGCTGATGTCGTTAAGGAGCGTCAACCATCACGCGAACTGTGGTCACTTTCGCAGCAGCAGCGGCTTTTGGCTGGCCATCAAACAAAGACGATCATTGCATTGCGCGCTTTCAGATGCGCTTCTGCGGCCGTCTGGAATGCTCTTCCTTCCAATATTAGGAAGCCACTGGAGTTATGCACTTTTAAATTTGGATTGAACATTAATTTCTTTAGAACTGCTTTTTGTGTTTAGTTTGTTGTCCTTCCCATGCATCTCCGATTAGCATGGTTGGCTATGGACGGTGTGAAAGAAGTTCAACATACATACAATGTGAATATAATTTTTATACCAGGCTGCATTGCTACTTGGGGTTTATCCTACAGATAACCTGGCCAATTGATTAAAGGGTTATTACCCAAAAATTTGCCGACAAAAAAGCGAGCCCGAAATAGATAGGCCTTTTTGTCTAAGGCGAAGATATCACACGCCATGCGCGTGCCTTGCTCGGAAGGTAATGTTATTGTTGATAACAATGGAAAGTGTTACAGGATCAATGTGTATGCATTCATTTGATTCCTCGTGACAAAGATGCAGCATCTGTATTCGAAAGTACCATACACTTTCCACCATTGTGTTTTCTTCCATGCATGTTACTTTGTAAAGCAAAATGTATAGTTGGTAAAATGAAAAAAATTAAGTTGAGTTTCATACGCACACTCATGAATTGGCCGAGAACACCTTGACATATAGGGGACATTTCGATTTAAAGCTTTCGTGACTGCAAGGATTCATCTTCTTTGGTTCTTTCGGCAAAGTCACGTAGAATGAGAATAAAATAATAAAATAACACAATAAAATTCTCACGACGTTTCGGCCACAACACAAGCAGCCGTCTTCAGGTGAAAGGTACAGAACTGTCGGGACAGAGCTTCTGTACCTTTCACCTGAAGACGGTCGCTTGCGTTGTGGCCGAAACGTCGTGAGAATTTTATTGTGTTATTTTATTATTTTATTCTCATTCTACGTGACTTTACCGAAAGAACCAAAGAAGATATGGGGGACAGCAGAGGTGGGGTTGGGGAATTTGGCACAGGCTCGCCAGATGACCACTGCCTTCCCACTCTTCCGTGGTTCCTCCTCGCGCCTCCGAGTCATCTTCTCTCTTCGAGAGCGAGACAATACTGTTTCAGCTTCATTTCATTCAGTTTCATGTATTAGGTATAGCCCTGTGAGCCACGCGGCTCTTGACTCGGGTGCAACCGCAACAAACAAAAACATGAACAAAAAACATCTTAAAGTGACGACAGAAAAATCCAGGAAAAAAACAGCAAAGTCTTCCAGAAAAAAACACCGTATATCAACGCTGTGTGCAAAAATCCCAGTGGGATGCCAGTCAAACAATAACAACCATACGACAATATAGATGAAAGTTATCAGGCTAACTCTGTAATTCAACAAACAAACATGGCTAAACCATACGTTTTCGAAATCACCAAAATAAAGCTATAAAAACAATGTAACAGTGATCATAGGAACTGCGATTCAAATGTAACAATAAACGATATACATAATATGTACGACCAAACTTTGCAGCCATAGCTGGCTGCACGAATCACTCCATAACAGCAGGAGTATCAGTAGGAGTATCAACATTTTTCAATGGACCTTTAAAGATCAGCACACTATAATCAAAACTCAAGATCATACTTTGCAGCGGTCATCCGGAGTGATGCATTTGATTTCGGTCCACTCTGCATAGCAGTGGCAGCTAGGGGTGTACAGCTCCTTAAGAGCAGTTTTGAGTGAAGATCTCACAGGTAGTGATCCAAGTTGCAGTTTATTGGCGATAGCATTCCAGACCCTCGGGGCGTCAACTGCCGCAACAGAGGCGCCTTCCAAGTTGAAATGATGATCATCACCGTTTTTTAAATTTCATATTTCTCTTGAACGCGTTTCATAATTGTTGAACATTTTCACATTGTGCACCAAATGAAGTTTGCAAGTGTCTTTGCGAACACAAGCTAAAACGAATCCATCCCAGGGACAGTTTTTTTTCATGATAAACTATATTCGTTGATAACATCACACTGCATAGTTCCCCGTTCTTGCATAACCCAGCATGAATAGCCGGAAAGATGGGGACCGGGGGAGAGGGGACACACTGTGGACACGACACCACCAGTGCCGGATTATCCTAGTAGCAAAAGTTGCATATGCTACGGGCCCCGCACTTTCAAGGGTCCCGCACTAAATGCTTTATAGCTATCAATTCCGGTTCAGTGATCCTACACTTGCTCTATTACTATAGGACTATACTCCCTTCAACTTTTATGAACGACTGGAGGTTTAAGGTTAGCGATTTGTCGTATTATTTAGCTGTATAGCAAGTGAAAAAATACAATTACTTTACTATGCAAGTTTTAATATTTATGTGTTTTTTTTTTTATTTAGGGCCCATTTATAACATGTGCTACAGGTAATCTGGCACTTTACACCACCTCTGTGAAGACATGGCAATCGCTACTCCTGGGAGAAAACAAGAATGACACACTTGGACATCGCGATTACGTTATTTTATTTCTGGGCATGTTTGGTTACAGCCCTCTTCTTCTGTTTACTTTCTCTCCCCCTTGAATACCCGACTCCCGTTCGTTACCCCGACCCGCGGTAGGGCAGCGAGCCCTGATGCCCCCAATCGATCCGAAATTTTGAGGGTCCATTGCGGCGAGTTTGTTACATTACCCCGCTGTACCACCACCCCCCCAACCCTCTTTTTGAAATCGACTTTGTATTTCGCGTGCTAGAATGAGGACAATATTTTCATATATTTAGACGGGGAAAAAACACATTGCAAAAATCGCCTAGGTCCTGCACTGCACAGTCACTTCTGACACTGGGTGCAATACCGAGCTTAGCCAGTCAGGCGGCACATGCCAGACCGCACACTCTGAGGGTTGTCGAGGTTATGTTGTCATGTGTCCCCATCGCTGGTCAGTGTGGGGGTTCGCTGTATGAAGTTTAGGGGATGCCATGGCCCTTTCAGATATCACTCGCCACTGACGTTAGCCGTGACCGGGAATTGAACTCACGCAGGTTGCTGGGTTAAAAGCGCAGACTGTGATAGCTACTGGTGTAAATTTGTGGTCTTGGATTTTTTTTCCATCTAGGTCAGAGGTCAACTCCTCAAGTTGCCAGCAGTAGAGCGTCGTAAAAGCTTAAGAGACGGAATTCTCAAAACGCAGTCACACCCAGAAGACCACACTTGAATTTGGAAATCCCGAAAGTGTAATGGATACATGCTACGAGGCTGTAACTAAGACCGCGGGTGGCTGCTGTGGCCGTGAGGCTCCCTCGGGTTTATGTCATCAGTGGGCGGGGGTGGCAGAGAGTGGAAGGAGCAGGGGAGGATGGGAAGACACCGTTATGACGAGAGCCAGAAGGATGAAATCCTCTGGAGATTCGATGTGGTCCATGGATCGGGTGTGGAAATTCGAATCGTGAATCAAATCGACCACCCCCCCCCCCCACATCTTATTCGTATGGCTGTTGTTGATGATGGGCAACATCTCTAATTTCACACTGAGGTGGCTGAGCCAGATAATTGCGTCGGGAGCTGTGATGATGACTCCCGTGTTTGCGAATCGAACATTGCGTCGTGAGACGTCCCATCGTCAGTTCTGGGTGACCACAGTTCCACAGTGGAGATTATTGGGTTTTTTTTTGCATTCATGCGCTGTCAAGTATCCGCAATTGCCACGTTTGTGCGGGTGGACTGTAGTTTTAGGGTTGTACTCTACCATGGTGAAGTATGGATGGTCAAATAATCCTCACTGCGTGCCCGGATTGTGGAAGGCCCTCATCTAGCGGTGTATTGACAAACGAACTCCGTGCAGAATAAACTAATTCGCCATAAAATTGGTTGCAAAATCGGCGTACTGGGCGATGCATTAAATATCACTCCACTTCGGCCTGTCGTATTCGTTGTACCGTACTGCATTTACCAACAGCCCTTCCGTTATCCTTGTTAAACCTTTTGGTTTTCTTGCTAATTTCGGATTTGTCATTCGATTTTTTTTCTTCGATACGAATCATTGCTCCTTCTTCTAAACGATTAATAAAGAAACGCACAAAACATCTAAGATACGCCTGTTATTTATTGCTTTATTTCCCATATTTCAGTTTGCAACGATTATTTAATTTAAACATCTCGTGTTTAATATGCCCCATCCCGAATGTAAGAGGCACAGAACGGGCGGTCTGATATTAACGAAATGTTCCGCATTATAAGACGCAGCATTCCCATAGTATGTTATCACAAAATTGGGGAGTGGGGGGGTGGGGTGCGTCTTATAATCCGGTAATTAAACCTTATTTGATTAATCTGCTTGCTTCGTTGACGGTGATGCACAACCACAACAAAATAACGCAACGCATTCCGTGTCAAAAAAACACCGCCGCTTTCAAAACAAAACTAAAGTTAATATAGGCGACGTTTCGGGCGATGGCACTATGAAGAAGGGGTCAATGCCCGAAACGTCGTCGACTACCGCTCACGGCCAACACCGGTGACGAGTATCTATCTGAACCGGTCCTGGGCCTCGCCTAGGTCGACTCAGCCTCAAACGAGTACCTGGTACGGCGTGTAGTAAACATCGTCACTAGGGGAGACAAAGGCGGCCGGGCGTGGTGCTGGCCACTCGTGAGCCACAGTGCCGACCTTCACAGCTGCTCGCGAACCGCACTTGCCCCAGCAGTCTGTTGAGGCTACACGGTAGGGGTGGGGGGGGAGTACCTTTGTCTTTGTTACGTGTGGCCAGACTCGTAGAACCATAGACAGCAGCAGCAGCACGTGTGTGTGTGTAGCAGCACGTGTGTGTGTGTAGCAGCACGTGTGTGTGTGTAGCAGCACGTGTGTGTGTGTAGCAGCACGTGTGTGTGTGTAGCAGCACGTGTGTGTGTGTAGCAGCACGTGTGTGTGTGTGTAGCAGCACGTGTGTGTGTGTAGCAGCACGTGTGTGTGTGTGTGTAGCAGCACGTGTGTGTGTGTAGCAGCACGTGTGTGTGTGTAGCAGCACGTGTGTGTGTGTAGCAGCACGTGTGTGTGTGTAGCAGCACGTGTGTGTGTGTGGCAGCACGTGTGTGTGTGTAGCAGCACGTGTGTGTGTGTAGCAGCACGTGTGTGTGTGTAGCAGCACGTGTGTGTGTGTGTAGCAGCACGTGTGTGTGTGTGTAGCAGCACGTGTGTGTGTGTGTGTAGCAGCACGTGTGTGTGTGTAGCAGCACGTGTGTGTGTGTAGCAGCACGTGTGTGTGTGTAGCAGCACGTGTGTGTGTGGCAGCACGTGTGTGTGTGTAGCAGCACGTGTGTAGCAACACGTGCGTGTGTGTGTAGCACGTGTGTGTGTGTAGCACGTGCGTGTGGTAGCACGTGTGTGTGTGTGTGTAGCAGCACGTGTGTGTGTGTGTAGCAGCACGTGTGTGTGTGTGTAGCAGCACGTGTGTGTGTGTAGCAGCACGTGTGTAGCAACACGTGCGTGTGTGTGTAGCACGTGTGTGTGTGTAGCACGTGCGTGTGGTAGCACGTGCGTGTGTGTAGCAGCACGTGCGTGTGTGTAGCAGCACGTGCGTGTGTGTAGCAGCACGTGCGTGTGTGTGTGTAGCACGTGCGTGTGTGTGTGGCAGCACGTGCGTGTGTGTGTGGCAGCACGTGCGTGTGTGTGTGTAGCAGCACGTGTGTGTGTGTAGCAGCACGTGCGTGTGTGTGTGAAACTGGACTGCAAATGAGATCGGGATTTGAGATATTCTGAACAAGATCAATTCGAGAGCAACAAGATCACGTCGCAGTGATATCGAAGGGTTTGCGTCTTCCTCTCCCGGTGCCATTGGCCGTGTTACGCAAAACAACAACAACAATCCCGAGGCTTCACGGCTGCGCATTGCCCGCGCTGGGCAGCAGGGGGGGCGACACCACACGTACAGTGGTTTAGACGTGTACACGTACAGGGGGCATTGTAGCAGGGGCACCCACAGTCACATCTGGCCTCTACTCCTCTATCTCTGCTGTGTGCGGCGTCTCCACCTTCTGCTACCACCACCAACAACACCACCATCATAATCATCATCACCGCCACCACCACCATCACCATCATCCTCCACCACTCAACCACGACCGGAGTAGGAGTAAGAGTCGGAGGAGGGCCCCCCCGACCCTCCCGCCTATCCTGAGCGAGGCCCCGATGGAGTTCGGCGCGGTGGTGGCCGAAGCGGAGGTGTGGTGCCTCAGCACCCCGTTCTCCCTCTTCGCCTCGGAGCAGGCGGACCGACGCCTCCACTTCCTCAGCGAGTCGGTGGGCGATGCCAGGGCGCCGCTCTCCTTCTGCCTGGCGTGCCCTCAGGACGGCGATCCCAGCGCCCCGTTCGTAAGTTTGCCCGTATTGTTGCCGGCCGCTTTGGCGTTGTGTTGCGTTTCGGGGGTGGTTGATGGTTTGGGTGGTGGTGATGGAGGAGGAGGAGGAGGGTGTATTTTTTATTTCGGGGATTCTTCTCTCTCTCGCTAAATGCCGCGGTGACAAGAGCGTTGCAGATGGAGGGAGGAGACGCCGTGGTCGTTTGTGGTTTGGGTTTTATTGCGTTTAGATTTTTGACGGTGGCGCCCTCAAGTTGTTGGTGTTGTGCTTCTGCTGGACATTGCCACGTGTGGGTGCAAAAAGATGTGGGCCCGACACTTCAATCATCCACAGTGCCACATCAGTGGAAGGGGGCGCTTTGCGACGTCAGTGGAAGGCGCCTTTTTACAAATAAATGTAAATTATTGTGTCATTTCGCGGTGACGCCTCCAGTTGTTATCTTGTTGCTGATGAGATTATTTGTTTTAATTCCCATCTCGTCCATCTTTTATCTGTCGATATAACATATTTCGTCACGACGCAATCCCCTCATGTCGAATTATATTCAAATCCCATCTTCAATCACACCTTCCGCGGTCACATCATCCAATGTCACACGTCTTCCCATCTCAAATATCTCGCTTTGTCGTACGGTAACATATTCCGCAATGCCTCATCATCTGATGTCACACATAGATCCACGCCTGTCTTATCTCATATCTTCCGAATACACACCACCACAAATCGCTTGGTATATTATCCGCTTAATGCCATTTGCTAATGTATAGCAATCCAAATCATTACCTGTGCGGTAATTTCTCAAAGAAAATCCTCGCTGGCTGTTGGTGGTCATTTTTAAGGAGATTCCTTGCTACATTGGGATGTTTTATCCAACTCCATTAAATGAGTGCCGTAAGCCTCCATCAATGTTCTCCACTGCTTGTACAGTAGTACTACTGCATGCACTCTTGTGACCGTGAGCCGATGGCTTAGTGTGTGTATGGGGTTGGGTGATGGAACCAGTCATAATATCGATTATATAATAATCTACAGCCCTTTGTTAATCCCACGCTGAATGAACCGCAGGCCATACTTTTCCACGCTTGTCATTGAGGGGCGGAGGAAGGAAAAATGACCGGTTCAGATACAACTCCGCACTGATGTTCGTCTTGGCCGAGAGGAGAGAAGTCAGGTCGCTGGGTTCGTAACGCAATTCCTGGGACCCACTGTGCCACCAACTCCATCCCACGATTGATCGTCTTTAATCACTCATTCTAAGACTGTAATATATTGCTGAAGGCCAGCCAATCGAAAGGTCAAGCTCAATTGTTCGTCACTTGGGCACAACAAAAACAATCGTGCACTGTTTTCATGGATATACTGGCCCCTGTCATAGGAATATGGAACTTGTACCATTCTCTCAGGGCTGTAGAAATTGAGATGACCGCTACTCCACACCTTTTTAAAAAAAAGAAAACACTCATTAATGTTTTTTTTCAGGTATGTAAACATCACCGCATTTGAGATGCTAGCGAGGTCCATGAGAGGTTATATATGGGGATGAGGAATCAAAAGGCCATGGGTGCAGTCCGTGGCATACCTACCAGTGTGCAGGCGGTGCAAGCGCCACTGGGTACATGGCACAGGCTGGTACGCTTCTCCGGAAAAGTGCACGTGTTAAAAGGCTGCCTGAGTGCGGTGTTGCAGATTGTATTGCAAGGATGAATATGCCCATTATGGCGTATTTGTTTATTTTATCACGTTTTTAAACCTGCTGGCCAGGATTGAGCAAAATGTTAGCCCACTTTTCACCCCGGGCAACTGGACAGCACAGAATAAGTGTTTCTAGCTTAACATTAAAACTAATAACATTTAATAATCACAGTAGAGAAACAAACAACGTCTATATTATATATATATTTTTTTCTTAAAATCGCATAAATGGTCCTCATACTATCTGGGACACTGTTCCAATGTCCATCCAGGAAATTTAAAACACCGGGACCATGATGAAAATGTTATTTACAAATATACAGCTCTTCGAGTCTCGGGCCACTTTTTCAGGAAGATCCTGCGACACTGGAATGTTTGGCCAATTCCATCAATGATTGTTTTGCATCATGTGGCAAAACAAAAAAGAGAACCTGGAGAAATCCCACCACATCCAAGGGGGTGACGTTCAAAGCTCCATGGGGACGGATTCAATATGCAGACCCAATCGAGTGAGTGGACCCAGTCTCACGAACGTCTCCCACCACCTCACAGACCCGTGCCCACGGTGCCCGGCACGCCCCCAAGTGTCACTCATCCAAGTGTGAACCAGACTCAAGTGTGTTTAGCTTCTGACACTTGTGCGGTGTTATTTTCTCACTGAAACAGGAACAAATTGACCAGCGTATGCTTAGAAGTGGTTATTCTCATTAATTGATAGCATAAGCAGCATGGTTGGTATGGGCCCTGGTGCAAGAAATGTAATCGGGCCTCCTGTTTGATTACTCCCCCCCCACCCTTTGCAGCCTGGTGCCACAGGGCCTCCTCTCTCTCATGGGCCCCCTGGCACAGTTGCTGCGCCTGCTTCTTCCATGCGATCCTAGCGCCCACTATTGGAGACAAATTTCAGTTGGCACGGTCGGGTTGTAAGGGACAATGCAATGCATCTATTATTCAACATATCTCCAACCCTTCTGTACACATTAGTGGTGGGAGACCGGGCATTGGGTTCCACACGTGGAGGGCTACATTGTGGCGTCACGCCAGGATATTGTTTCTCCTTTCCGTTCTGAAAATGGGATTCAATTGGATTGTGAACGTTCTTACGGTTAGCCACATCCAATAATCCTAAAGCAAATGCTGAGGGCACTGACCTATCCAAATGCGATGGGGATTGGAGACGTGGGGGGACATGTGAAAGAGTATTGAGTAGCAGCAAGTATAGGATGTTATGGTGTGCTGTTTGTATTTCCGACACCTCCATTTGCAGTGCTTGCTTTCATGTTATACAGTGGATAGAAATGTGGAAAGTTACATAATGTGGATAAAAAAAGCCAGTTGAGGGCATGAAAGGGTTTTAATAATGGACCATAAAACTGAGCAATAAAGTGGAAAGATAAAAGCAACAACCTCGAGATGAATTGTGACGTGAAAGGTTGTCAGTTAATTGAGTGCTGTTACCCCCGTGTTGGTTTTATGTCAGCCCCGTATAATTCTAAACCTTTGTTGAATGCGGTTTAAAAAAAAAACCTCTTCACATTTCACAGCATCTTTGACACACAATATAAACCAAAGTCATATCGTATGATATTTTCTTCTTTCGCCATAACACCGACGACGCAACGGCGTGGCTATTGAATGTGCGAGCAGTGCAAGCTGCACTGGGGCCCTCGGGCTCGAGGTACCCAGACCACTAGGCTAGGAAGATAGTTTTTACGTTAATTAAATAGCCCCCCCAATTAATCGTTTGTACCTGGGGCCCATGGCAATCAAGCTATGCCACTGCACATAAAAAAGAGTCATTTCCTGCAAATGGATGTAGTTAATTTGAGTCCCTTGTCCAGCACTTAAAACCCTCATTCTCCTTGGTATTACTTGGCTGCATCACATGCTTTAGTTGCATAATCTACATTGCCTTCTCTGCAATAGTTTAGAACCAAGTGGTTCTTCTAAAATTTGCAGTTTCATGCCTTTGTAATTCGATAAATTGTAATGAATTGTCTGAACCAGCATCACGATTCCATTAACGAATTAAACTATCCCTTCTCGCTCTTGTAGTGCAGTTAGCACCTCTAATGGCTGCAGGGTTTGCCTGAACCTCCTAACATCATTGATTCTTTAAACACGCAATTGTATGCATACATCAATGAATGGATGCACCATAATGTGTGGGGCTATGTTGGGGGCAAACATGGAACAGTGCGGCAAAATCCATTAAGGTCCTGTACATTTATGCTCCCACGTGTGCTCCCCGCCATCACCGATCCGCACTTAACAGTGTGGTGAAGTATGGTCATATAATAACCCCCGTGACCCACAAAGAGGTTTGACGCGCTCGTCACAGGTGGGAAGCAGACATGGAGTCAGTTACAAATGTAATCTCAACTGCATCGTGAGCTGAAATTAAAATTAACGCCGTGATTTTGGTTCACTATGAATGACGTAAATCACAACTCTAATTGACCTCGCATGGTAACGTATGTGTGTTAAACTTCTTTTGCACCATATTTACCCAACTGTACTAATCTGAGGGGCGGGACAATGCCAATAAACTAAACACATAAAGCAGTAAAATTTTGATTTAAAGCTTTCGTGACTGCAGGGATTCATATTCTTGGTTCTTTCGGTAAAGTCACGTCGTGAGAATTTTATTGTTTTATATTTTTATTATTTTATTGTTTCCCTTCTACGTGACTTTACCGAGAATACATACATAAAGTAGTTCTAAATATTGATTTAAAGCTTTCGTGACTGCAGTAATTCATATTCTTAACGTGACTTTACCGAAAGAGCTAAGAATATACAGTTCTAAATAATTGAGTTTTCAGTCTGGTAGAGACGTTACGATCGCATGCGTTACTCGCAGTCATGCCCGGTGTGGCCGCCCCTGTGTGATGGCCACGTCCGTGTGTTGCCCCCCACCCCTCCCTCTGCCCCCCCCATCTCCCCCCCCCACAGCTCGTGTGGAGCGAGAGCGAGGAGTGCCTACGCCTCCTCGGGCCGGCACAGGACTTTGCCTCATCGTGCCGGGAGAAGACGCTCCGCGAGGTGCTCAACCGGGCCTTCCGTGCACTTAAACCGGTATGGGGACCCGGTGGGGTGGGGAGCACGCTGCCTGGGGGTGTTTTGTTGAGGTGCTTTGCAAAGTTGTAGTGCGGGAGTGAGCGAGCCTTTAGGGGCGCACATTTCTATTACAGAAACTCAAGACGGGAGACACGACATGGTTAAACATTTCAAATATTTTAAACACTAACAGAACGAGTGACCACGATGTGCTTCTTGTCAATCATGCATTCCATTCTGCTCTAGGTGTCGCCCCCTATGTATATGAGGAACATTGCTGAAAAACCACCACTGTTGTGAAATATTGTACCAACAGTTTTTGACTTGGCTACAAGAATCATGAAGGGTGGCTGAGCCTTCAGCAGTGGGTGGGGGGGGGGGGGTTCCTCTGCCCTCTGAAGCCCCCCAAAGCTCTAGGACATGGTAGATACGCAAATTTATTTGAGGCGAACACGGAGGACAGAGGTCGTCTTAGAGCACTCCGTTGAGGTGCTGTGTGTTTTGTGACCGTAGGGGTGAGATCATTTTCTTTATGGAGGGTCCAACAGGAGTTTTAAACGCCATTGGTGGAGCAAACAGCACACTCGCACCTCAGGCACTTCTGCCACTGTTAGTGGTCCATGCGGTTACAGAAGTGAGAAGCATTCCATGATGACGACAACGGCGATGATGACGATGGTGATGGGCTAATTTTGAATGACAGGGCGTTCGAATATATTTGGGAGGTAAGATACATTCTAAATGTCCGCCTTGCTCTGTTTCATATTCTTGCATCAAAGTTGTTGGGGCTTGCGGAGGAAGAGGATGACGCCTTTGAGGATGACGATGACCTTCCGCCAGAATTTGAGGACAAAGAGGCCGGTACGCGGTGTTACAACCGAGCACTCGCAGCTCCATTACATCGTAGTAATCGTGACGTGGCCATCGCCACTTCGGCCTGTCAGTAGCCATCTTGTTACTGCCTCCTGCTGGCAAATTGTTACCATCGCAGCTCCATATCTCCATAAATAAGCCACATTTTCTAAAACTACGGATAATTAAGCATTGGATGCTGCCGTGGTGTGATGGGTAGCGCAATGGACTTCAAATGCAAGGGAAGCTGGTCCAATTTAATCCATGAACATTGAATTAACTTTTTATTTCACCAGGTAAGGCCCACTGAGCTATAGTAGCTCTTGTTCAGACGCGACCTGGCCACAAATGATAGCTAAATTAAGTGGCTTATCATGTGGAAATGTTAGCTAAATACTCGAAATGCATGTTTCTAAATACCGAGGGAAAAACTGGAGGACCCGGAGAAAAATTCACGCGAATTCGGGGAGAACGTGCAAACTCCATATATATAGGCGTCAGGGTCTGGATTGAACCCATGATCGATCTCCTGTATACCCGGTGAGGTAGCTAACATCTGGCTACCATGGCGAGATCTAAGCTGTGGAGCAGTTGGGAAAATGGTGCACGTTTCTTAAATCCTTCTCACCCCCACCCCGTCCACTGCCACCATCTATCCAGGGGTGTAAATGGGTTCACCATCGTTGGTCGATTGGCAGGTTGTGTACGATGGCTACTCCCACCTCTTCCCTAGTCGTTTAGCCAATGTGGAAGAGTAGACCAAATCACCTCGGATTTCTCTCAGGTTCTCTGTGGTGGAGACCTGTCTTCCAGAAGTGACATAAACAAGCAATTGCAGGGCTACACCTTTACCTATGGATAATTACTTTCCAAATTATACACATTATACACCCCATTTGTATTACTGGGATGATATAAATGTTGCCTCTGTGATGTTACCTAATGTTTGGGACCGTCTGCAGTATGTACCGTGCTGGGTAAGAGCAATGGTTCATACACGAAAAACGTGTATTATCTCTTGACAGCAGAAAGTGTTATTGTGGCAAAATTGCTGGGTCCTCCCAGCATGACTTAAATATTGCGTAACATCACCATGCCGCTTGCATGATAAACCCTACAGCCATGTGTTCGAGCACCACAATTCAAAATATCGGCTACATTTTAGGCAGCGACTTTCACACACCCTGATTTCAAATGATGATTATACGTTCCCTACACACACGATACACGCAGTGCGCTTGAGAATCGATTAAGGTTTACGCACATTTTAAACATTGCGATTTAGGCTAGTGGAACAGACAACACTGCAACGCATGTATGTTGAATTTCCTTTGCACCATACATAGTCAACCATGCCAATCGAAAGTGCGGGAAAGGACAACAAACTAAACATAATAATCAGTTCTAAAGACGACATGGAGATCGACTTGACCTTAAAATAATTACCTGGCGTGGTGTGTAAAACATCAGCGCTGGGGAAACATAGGTACCCAGGCACGGTGCTGGACACACTACCCCCTCATGCACCATGCCGGCCGGCCTTTGGCACTCGCTAACAGCACTTGTATCAACAGTCTATTAATATCTGTACGGGGTCTTTGTGTGTGTGCTTTCCAGAACATCCCAGTTCAGACTTGGGAGAAGACTCCGGTTGAACGCTGAACCCCGGGCGACAACACTGTTTGTGGATATTGACATTTCGATTGTGCCCAGATGTTATGGCACTTAAACTCTATATCACCTGCATCTGCATGACCGTCCGAGTCGTTCCGTTTCTTCGTGCATTATTATTTGCACAGAAGGCCAGTAGTTTTTTTGGCCATTGAACTGAAGTTGTGGTTTTTAGGGGGGAAAAAAGCATAGCTTGATTAATTCCGAAGGTAATTAATGAATTGTGGAATGTAGTCGATCGTGCATGAAGAAGGGCGGAGTGGGTGTGTGTGCACGTGAAGTAAAGAAGAATGATCGTGCATTGTGCTCCACAGTATGCGGCTTTTTTGCCAAGTGCAGAGAAGCCACACCAACTGAATTAATGGGTTCTCACTGTTAAAAAAAAATCATAGTCTTCCCTATGCATTAAATTGATAAACAATAACTACAAGCACTAGGAGCATGATAACCGTGTGAGGATGCCGGGTGGCTCAAGAGGTCAGAGTGCCAAGCCAGGACTGCGGAGATCATTGTTTTTTTAATCTATCGGGCATCCAGCCAACTTTGATTGAACTAAGTTCTCGAGCGCAGAGAGAGAGAGTTAGTGGTCTCAGCCAAGCCACCAGTTGTCCGCACGAAAGAAACCCGATCATGTAAAAACAAAAATTGCACTAAATTTTGCTTAATTCTAGCTGTATTGGTTTGACTGTCACGTGACAATTTCATAGCAGAGCTTATGGGAAAGTGCGCCCCCTATCATGTAAACAATAAAAAGGCGGCTTGAATGTTTTTTTTTTTGGAGCCCTGCGAAAAATATCTTGGCCGTTCTCCAACACCCTTGGTGCACCGCTCTGTAAGTTATCCAAGGGGATTCCTCATCTATTGGCATGATGCCGATAGCACAAATGGAATTGGGAATTTAATACCAAAAATATCCTTTTTAAAATAAACTTTTATACCAGTATAAATTAATCTTAATGGTTCTGATAATGGTTTGTGGACGATGAAGGTAGATATTTGTTTGTAATTATGTGAGGTAGTGTAAAAAATGCATTAGTTCATCGATAAATGTTGATGCGCTCACACTACATGCATCCAAACGCGAATGTGAATAATCAATGTTTTCGATCAGTATATTTATGTAACTGGGTCAGTGTGATCGTGCATCCACTAGAGGCCGCAATATTCAGGGCAGTGTTAAATAAAACATGATTTGAATCTTAAAATCACCACCACGAGTCATGATAATTCATCGGATCGGAAGGTTAAATTGTTGCACCCTCTAATTGGCATAAATTACCGTAGGCAGCAGTGGATAGATCATGGCTGATATTGATAATGATTAAGTCGTTGTAAACATGGACTTGCGTGGCACACACCCATTTCTTACACACCGGTATGGGTGCAGTGTTGTTTAAATTATATTGCTATATTCTGACATGAAAAGCATGTGGAACTACTACCTATGAGGTTAGTCATTTCCAGGACCGCCCCAAATGTCACGGAGCTTCGACCAAACATTTCGCTTTTGTTGTGCAGTGATTGTGCTTAAAGCGGGTCAAGCATTGCTGCCCATTTAGTATGCAATAAGATTGATGTGGTGTTTGTTCGCTACCTTATGTTACAAATCTGTTATGCCTTGTAAGTTTCGCTTAAGAATAGGAAGTGACTGCTACTGTCTCTACACGTGCGGGATAGACACTGGTCTGGCGCTCCAGTCCCCGCAGGATTTAGTTTTTGTCATAAACCAGATTTTCATGCAATCACAACCCCACCTTGGGCTTTAGTTGATGAAATATGGATAGTTACATTTACATAACGCTTTTCATTAAGGTTACCGAGTTATCCTGTAGAGTTTAGAAGGTGAAGGTTTTGGGTTAAGGTTAGAGAGTTGGGTTTAGGGGGTGAGACTTGGGGTGAGAATTTAATTGGAAATGGGGTTTGGGTTAGGTGTCATGCATGTTGAACTTCTTTCGCTAATCGGAGGTGCGGGGAAGGACAGCAAACTAAACGCAAAAGGCAGTTCTTAAGAAATTAATATTCAATGTAGATCTAAAAGTGCATAGCTCCAGTGACTTCCTAATATCGAAAGGGGGAGAGCGTTCCAGACGGCCGCAGCACATCTAAAAGCGCGCGATGCGGTGACCGCCGTCTTTGTTCGATGGGCTAGCCACAAAAGCCGCTGCTGCGAGGATGACCGGAGTTCACGTCATGGTCTACGCTGGTCATGCTCAGAGTTTAGGGGTTAAAACGATAAAAGAGAGGCACGGTGGGGGGGGGGGTAAGGGCTCGTGGACACAAGTAGAGTACACAAGACTGCTCTGCTTGCCACGTACATGCGGGGGATGGGTCGTGCTGTTGTAGCGATGGGCTCTCTGTTATGCAGTAACAGTATTTTTAAGTTGCTTGTTTGCAAAGTAATAAAAAAACACTTGCTTTTAAAAGTGTCCTGCTTTATTTTAACAATACGAATAAACGATACACTAAACAAGTTACGTCATTGTTTTAACGTTTGAAGGCGCGCGCGCATGTCATACAATGCGTTGATTTATATCACGTTTCATATATTTAACTCGAACACAAATAGGAATCGTCAATATTGGTCAATACACTGTTTTTAAACTCATAATTGCCATACTATATATTTAGTAAATGCTAACTGGCTTTCACGTCCGAATGGCGCAGCGGTTCCCGAACTTGAGCTGGGAAAACGAGTTCAGTACCCAACCACAGCTATCATCAGTGGCCGAGTCTTAGACGTTCCTGGGCACACCCCACAACAACAACAACCGCCATTCGCCACTAAGTGGCGGTGACGTCACCACGACGCTTGTGCCTGGCCATGTGCACCTTGAGGCCACGTGAAGTGTCGAACGCCCGCTGGCAGGAGGTCACGGGGCAGACCCAGGTGCCACGGGTCGACTGACTGAGATGACTGGCTGATGCACCACCTGTGCCCCCTACTGTGCCAATCTGCTGTGCTTTAGCCACCCGGCGCTCCGTTCGTTGTGAGCGTCGCTCCTCCACCCTCCGTTGTTGTTGTTGGAGGGCGACTGCCTCCAACTGCCCAGTAGCGTCCTTCACGAGCCTCCACAGAGGCCGATCTTGACACCGTTGGTACAGTCATCGGCAAGTCCATTCAGCTCCACGTCCTCCTGTACCACATCACTCCATCTCTTCTCTAGCCCGTGCCGCGCCCGTTTAGCCCCCTCGATCTGGCCGAACAAAAGCTGTTGAGGCATGCGGTGGCTGGGCATGCGGGCTACATGACCCAGCCATCGCAGCCTTGCCTGCCGGAGGAGCTCACCGATGGGACCGTGGCCAGATCTTTCAAGGATTTGTGAGCTCCTCACACAATCCAGCCTGGTTAAACCCAGGATGGATCGTAGGCAGGCCAGCCTAAATGTTTCTAACCGGCGAAGATGTTCCATTAGGGGGGTTCACGTTTCGCAAGCGTAGAGAAGGGAGGGAACGACCGTGGCCGAGAAGACCTGAAGCTTAGTGCGGAGCGACAAACCAGGTAGCTTCCACACAGCGTTACGCAACCGATGAAAAGATATTGCCGCTGGATTTATTCGGAGTGAGACCTCTGCTGTTAAACTGGAGCCACCCCACAGCCACCTTGGCAAGCTACATTGACCCCTAATGCGAAGTTACTGTGATCAAACGACCACCACGACCCAATACGGCGTGGGAAGGCCTTCATTCAGCAGTGGATTAACAAAGCGGTGTATATGTAATCTTAAGGCGCCGTCCATAAATGACGTCACGCGATTTTGGACGATTTTTGACCCCCTCGTCACACGGCGTCACAAAAAGTCAGACCCCCCCTCAAATATGACGTCACAAAGCTCTGCCCCCCCCCCAAACCATATTTCCATTTTGAAAATAAAACGTGCTTCAAATCGCTTTAGACTATTGTCGTTGTAGTGCGTATTTAATGTGGCGCTGCACTCTGATGTTGTAGGAGTGTTATAACAATTATTGTTGTTATAACAATTATATATTTATTTAAAGTTGCGCATGTTAATGTGACGTCACATTTTTCAAACCCCCCCCTCGTCACGCATCGTCACAAATGTCTGCCCCCCCCCCATGTGCGTGACGTCATTTATGAACGGCCCCTTATGTGATATATCCCACTTTGTATATTTTTTGCAGAATTTTAGATAATCTGTTGTTGCATTGGACGTTTAATGCGTAACGAAGCTTCGCGAAATAAATGATAAAGCCGTCGATTAATCGACAATCGCGCGAGTGTAATAATCGATGTTTTTTTCCCGATCCTATCTGCAATGATTTCACGTGGCATCCTGCCAGCCACTAGTGGACGTTAATATTACACAATCACATTGTCGAAAAAAAACTAACTTCATCCATTGTTAAATAGTTCATATTCTATACATCGAATTTGTAGCAGGGTGGGTGGAGGGGTAGAAAGAGGAAGATTCGTTCCAGAACTTAAAAAAAACACCACGTGGCAAAGAAACGTCAACAATTGCTTTGGATCGATGGCACCACGGTCTAAAAAAACACCCAGCACATTTTCTGACCAATCACCGTATTCCATTGGCTTCAGGCCCTGCAAGTGAGCCCATCTCGACCAACCAGCGCCCTCCGCATCTTAGGTTTTAAAATTAATTTAACGAATGCTTTTACACAGAGCACCAGATACATATTGCGCACAATCTAAATTCATAAATACATCTTCATGACAAAATTGGAACCACTTGCAGAATTGTTGACGTCATTGATTCCGATCTCAAAGAGGCCCACCCGCACCTCAGCCAATCAGCGCTGTACATTCCGCGGATATATGACGTCAATACTTCCGACCATCGTTAGCCCCCTCATCCCACCACCTCGGCCAATCAGCGCCGTGCGTGCCGCGGTGAATCCTCGACCCCCCCCCACCCCTGTTGGAGTTCTGACGTCATTATTTCCGATCATCGTTAGCCCACCCCCCACCACCACCCGGGCCAATCCGCGCCGTGCGTTTCCGCTGAGAATCCTCCGGTGTAGTTTTGACGTCATCGCTTTCGAAACCCCACCTCCCCCCAACTCACTCCGGCGTTGGACGGTGACGTCACGTTTTCCCGCTGTGTAGGAGCGAGTCGCGTGCGAGTGGAGGGAGGCCGACGTTTGGGGTCGCGGCCGAGGCGGGAAATTGCAGCGCGGCTCCGTCTCATCGAGGCATGTGTGTCGCCGCGTCTCTTAAGTCATAAGCAAAGCAACAACATCAGCAGCAGCAAAGTAACGTAGCCCGGTTTAGTCGTAGGCAATCTGTCGTCATTGATGCCTTGGCAGAGAACGTGACATTTTAAGTAAATATCTTTTTTTTTCTCTTGGGGTTTGAGACTACTTATAATGATGTGCGACTGTGGGACTTGTGTGTGTGTGTATACAGTACTGGGCCAGCGATAAGTACAGTGTTTAGTTGATTGTGTGGTGTTGTACGGTGTCTGGTGTGTATGGCTTTAACGATAATGCATGGGAGTGACAGTCGTGTATAAGCTGTACGTGGCCTACTTCCTTCTGGCTGTATGAGTTCCATTCCCGGCCACGACTAACACCCAAGTTACAGTATATCCAAAGCGGCTAGAGCCTCCCTCACGAAATCCACACTCACCAGCGTGGTGAAGTATGGTTAAACTACCAATTAGCGACACGGTTTTGGGAGGCCTTCATCCAGCTGTAGATTAACAACAGGCTGTAAACCATTATATAACGATGGCTAATACCAGTAATACTTTAAAATGCTATGATTTTGTGTTTGCTGTACAATTGTAATCGTGTTATTGTTTGTCTATAATGTTTAACGCACCTGTTAAATCATTAACGACGTACACGTCAACTAGTTAAAAAGTACAGCGCTGCAATAATCGCCGCGATTAATGTGTTATCGTGTTTATATTGTAAACGTTGATCGTTTATTGCAGTTGATGGATGCCAATAACACTTTAGAAAACTTGTTTTTATTGTCCAAGCAGAGTGTGTTAATACACGTTGCTTTTTTTAATTGCCGTGGTGAAGTATGGTCTAATAGCCCGCGTGAGCCCACACAGCATAGGGAGAGTCCTAATGTAGCAGCCGATTGACCGGCACGGTCTGTACATGTACACGTGGATCGGTCAACATACGTTTATCGACAACTTAAGGGGAGCCACGATATTTGAGATGTTACCTACTTCGCCTGGTATACAGGAGCACATGGGTTCGATCCCAACGCCTGTATATTCGGAGTGTGCATGTTCTCTCCCCGTAGTCGCGTAGATGTTTTTTTTTCCCCGGGTCCGCGATTCATTTTTTACCTGCACTTAGAACCAAGCTTTTAAGAGTATTTGGCTGCCATTAATGTCGACATGGTAAGCCACTTACTTGAGCTATGATTTGTGGCCAAGTCGCTTCTGAAAAAAATATGCATAGCTCTGTGGGCCTTACCTGGTAAAAAAAATATAAGTCTTTTTATTGGCAGACTCTCATCTCGTGTCTTTAAATGGCACAAGCCACCTGCTTGAGCCATTTAAAAACTCATAAAGTTGAAACGAAGTAACCCGTCATAAAAAGAGATACGATTCAATAAAAAAAACCTTTCATATACAGTACTTGTTTATTGCAGCTTCTGAGATAAGGTGAAAAGCGATAAAGATTGTCAAGAGAACAATAACAATGATTGCTAAGGTACAAGAACATGAGAGCTATGGCCTAACATTCTCTACAGGCATGTGTATATTTCCCATCTCAAAGAACATGGTGTGACATTTGCGGTGGTGCGGCGTGTATAAAGAGAGGGCCCCATGTTGATGGATCTTGACGGCGGTGAACAGAGGTGAAAGCTAAACCGGTTTGCGTTTCGCTACGGAGTGATGAAATGAGTTTGTCCACGAGGGACTGCCACGGCGTGGCGAGGTCTTCATTCAGCAGTGGATAGACACTGGCTGCTGACGATGGGAGCAAGAGTATTGACGCAGAAGCATAGCTTAATTATTTGTTTGCTGGTGATGCCACTGCACTGGGATGACGGGTCCCATGCACTGGGTCACGAAGAGTGAGAGAAATTGTACAGAGAGTGGGGGGGGGGTGCCCATTTCGTTCCTTGCACCAAGGCCTTTGCCTACCAACGCTACGCTACTGGCTTGGCCCGTGCCTACCGTTGCCGTCTGAATTTGTTCAAAGTCCTAGTAGCATTGTGTGTTTATTTCAGGCCCAACAGTCGCAATTGAAACGGAGCTTTGTCACTGGGTGTTGGCCCACTGTCAGTGACGAACCCTATTCTTTTTCGGTCTTCCAAAGGTATTGCACTGCAGTTACCTCTGTTTACCCTGGTAGACAGTGTGTGTATTGCAAGGATGATGTAGGTCAACAATACCCGCACTGCCTCGTACACTGGTGCTATTTAACTTGCAGCAGTTGTCAGTCCTATACTGGACGAAGGCCTCCGCTTGCCACGTCGATCATGGAGGTTGTTTGAACAGGCTTTACTGCCAAGGTCGGTGTGGGGATGTGAAGGCATCGGTTAAGTGACAAGTGATAATGATCTTGGACCAGTCCTCAATGGTAACAGACTAAAAATGTAGCTAGGGTCGCTGGGTTCCGAGCACAGTGCGCTAACCATTGCGCTACTGCTCCACACTCTCAACCGTTGCTATGTTGGATTAATATAATGTGCGACAATCGCACGCTCGTGAAGCTAGGTGTGCATCACACGATTTGAAGCGGACTAATTTAGCCGAATGTGCCGTCTACTGCTGAGCATTGTTTGGTCATCAAAGCCGCCTCCGTAGTCCGTCGTGACGCTCGTGTGCATTTTGCGGTGTTCCCCCTCCGTCCCTCAGCGATCTAAGCCGGTTCCGTTTCTGCGCGCCCGTGCAACGCAGGCCCAGACCGTGAGGATGGACGTGGGTGACCTGTCAGCACCCGAGGTGCTGGGCTCGCCGCTGATGGTGCAGCTGGTGACGTGGGTTGCTCAGTTCGCCATTGTGTTCGGTGGCATTGTGCCGTACGTGCCACAGTACCGCCAGATCCGGCGCACGCAGAACTCGGAGGGCTTCTCCAGCCACGTGTGCCTCGTGCTGCTGCTCGCCAACATCCTGCGCGTCCTCTTCTGGTAGAGACACGCTGAGCCTGCTGGAAATCGTGCCGTGTATACCCATGACTGCTTCGAAATGGGCCCTGCCCGCTTTCACATACCAAGACAAGTGTGGGCTCGGCCCAGGGTTGGGTTGACGTCAGGTCCAAGCCAGGCCGTGTAGCTCGTCCTTTAAGTGGGTCATGTGGTTCACTTTCCTCATGTCGCTCCCCACTTTGAGCTGTGTTTCCCTTGCAATCAGTCGTGACAACTCCAGAGTTAAAACTTGACAGAAAGACGTATTTCACTTAGGTCAACTTCAATGCCATTTAAAAAATATCTATAATAAAAAAAAAACTGGAGGAAAAAGAATAAAAGGAATGATAGATTTTTATATTTGGATAGCAGAACCGAACCCCAGGATGAGTGCAGAGCGAAGGAAGGGGCTGAGAGGTGGGGGGGGGCAGTTGGGGGGTGGGAGCCGTGCTGGTCTATGTCTAGAATGGGCCGGCTTGGGTAGGTCTTTTCCACGTTGTGGAAATTTTGCATCAGTAGATTTCATGGCATGCTGATAATTGTGCCATGTTGCAATTTTTGAGAATATTGTACATCTAAATTATCGCGTTCATTTCCTTACAATGGTATTTACGTATTCTTAGCTCTTTACGTAATTTGGAAATGATTATTTCAAGCATAATAATGCTTGTCTCAGACATGAAATAATATTGAATCTGTTTAATTTTCAGCAGTTTTTAATAGGATACTAGAAAAACCATTTTCATTCGGTTGGTTCTGGTACCCTTGCGATTTGTGTGCATGGGGTCGTCATTCATCTTCCTCCTGTGTTTCACCAACTCTGCTTGCTGTTTTCATTGTTTATTCCTTCTCCTTAACCATTGCACTCGTGATTATGCTGTTTCTGTGTGTGTGTTGTGTCAGCACTGCATGTGTTCCCTCAGCAATCTCAGATCTGGTAGCATTTAAGCTGCTCATTAAACATAAATCCTAAACCGGTATCATTACGTGTTTGAGCCTTAATAGTCACTGCCTGAGATTGCCGTCCCTTGCATTCTGCAAGTCTAAGCTGTTGTCTTTACCTCAATGTATTTGTTTGTGTACAAGCCTCAATGGCTACTTGCTAATAGCAAATGCTCCAGAACGCTATAACTAAGCTCATGGCTTTACCTCTGTGCATGGTCGTGTGCATACATACACACTATCCTCCTCGTGCACAATGCCGGTCTTCATAGGTGCTTCTTGCTCACAGCACTTGCCGCAAAAGTCTTGATGACCGCACAGACGATCGATAGCTTGATGTTTGCATGTGAATGTGTGGGTGCGTGTGTTTGACTGCATGCGTGCACGCACCGCATCCCCTTGTGCGCTCTAGCAGCCTAATGGGTGCTTGCTAACAGCATTTGCCTCAATGGTCTGTTGAATGCTATGATCCACGTGGGCTATTGTTGCTGGCAATCATCACCAGCAGTGCATTAACCATCAGCGACGATGGCAACTCGGGTGGGCAACGGAATGGAGTGAGAAAGTTCGCTGGCCGATCAAAGCGCAAGCCTTGAGGAAAAGTGCGTGCAGAACAACAATTGGCTTACAGACTGTAAATTAATATTTTGGTTAGGGATGGGGCAGATACTAGTACTCATTACTAGGTGACTACAGATAGTGTAGATATAGTCCTAATACTGACCTGTCCATCCTGGACATCTGTGAAAAAGAGCTTCACAGCTTATCGGATTCCTCCAGTCTAAATAAAGTTTCTGATTTGGAATGGGGTAGAGTAAGTACTAGTCACTAGTTAGATAACAATCATCTCTTTTGTAGTCTATTATCATTTGGTTAGCCAGTCACTCAGTACCATACGTTAGTTATCAGATAAGCAATCAATAAAAAGGCTTTCTCATCCATCCCTCTAGATCCCACTCATGCTGAATTTGGAAGCCACCATTCTTCAGCTGCAGTATGTGTGACATCAGGGGGTCATGTGTACACCGTCTCTGATCTGATTGGGAGTTGCTGCCCCAGTTTTTCATCTGGGGGCAGCTTCAATTAAAATTTTAAGATTTTGGGCAATGAGATTTTTTCAATGTGTAAATTCTGCAGGAAGTATTGTGGGTGACAATTGCCAACGTTGATTTCCTTGAAATTGTATCCTCCCCGATCATGACTCTAAGGCTACACGGGTGATCTTTGTGTGTGTGTGTGCGCGCTGCTGTTTTAAGGTTCGGCCGGCAGTTTGAGTCCGCGTTGCTGCTGCAGAGCTTCGTGATGATCGTGGCCATGCTGCTCATGCTGCAGCTGTGCACAGCCGTGCAGGGATCCTTGGACCTCACCACCAAGCGCCACTACTTCTCAGGTCCGGCAGCGGCGTGTGGTCACTCGGACTGGGGTGCGAACCAGGCATTTGGGAGTCGACTGTGCGAGTGCGAGCGATGCGGCGATGGTGGGGATTATTAGTGGGTGCCTGTTTAATACAAACATTTGGTGGTGGCTTTGTTATCGTAATAAGTGTTTTATTCGCCCATGAAAACTTTACTGTCTCTCAGGATTTGTTTTTTAGACGTGGCCGTCATCGTTGGTACGTTTGATATTTTTTGTGAGTGAAAGTTTATCTTTATTTTCGGAGGAAATCTGAGGAACCAGGGATAACCTCAAGCATTCAAAGCTCTGCGCAGATAGATTCAAAGTATGTCTTGCCATCTGCTGGCCATGTAGCCCATGCTAGTAACACCTGATATTCCCAGCAGTCTCCAAACCAAATACAGCGCGAACCAGTCTCAACACAGCTGAATTTCGGAAATACAAAATATTGGATGCGTTCCATGTGTAACTTCATTTAAAAGTTTCAGGGAATAGTGTCATTAGATAAGGGGGAATTCATCACCAGATAAATTATAGGTTCTCTGTGCCCCCTTCTACAGCTGCATTTGTACTTGCCTGCACAAGTTATTGGGCCCCATCATTTTATCAGGAACTCTCAATTGCCACCTTGGTGAGTCTTTAGAGGAGGAGGAGCAGCAGCGCAATGGTTTGTGCACTGCACTACGAACCCGGCGACACGAGTTCGATTCTCGGCTATGGCTAACATCAGTGGCAAGTGATATGTGAACAGGTCCTGCGTCTCCCCGTCCCCCACTTCACCAACCCGCAATCCAAGCAGCTCAATAATCCACCCCATTGCATTGTAATAGCTTAATTATATCACCGTATCAGAGGTAAAGTCTTATACGCAAAATAATGTGTGTGTGTACCAGTACTTGTGAACCTGTTGGCAGTCGCACGACGGGTCTGAACGGAGCGATCGTTGTTCCCGATGTTTTTCATGCGCATGTGGCCTCGCCCTGTACGAGAGTTGTGATAATTATCGTTGTTTAATTGCCCGTTGCTCGCCAGAGTTTGCTGCCCCATGCCATGACAACCGCTGTGTGTAGCCGTTTCCGCGTGTTGTCTTTTGCATGCCGGCAGACGGTAATTTGGATTCGCTAGTATTTCCACGCTCGAGAGCCTTCCTCGGTGGGTACCGCATGCCTTTTTTGTGTGTGTGTCTTTTATCATCGAGAGACTTGCGGAGAGAGAGCACGTTACGAGCGCCTTGAGTTCCCACGACCTCCCCAACCTAAAAATTAATTATTCTAGTATAAAATGTCTGCACACCTTCTCGATCTTGGCAGCGCTTGTATGCACATAAATGTACGGGGTTTTTTGTGCTGTTGCTGAATTGCTTTGTTGACCTGGAGCAAAGTTTTCCAGCCGCTATTTTTTTATATACACGATAAGATTTTATTTTATTATTTACCCATAATCTTCCAAGACAACGTGTGATGAGCTATCATTGTGCAGTATTTTTGTTTAATTGCCAAACATTCAAAACGTGTTGGACGGCCATGAACACGTAGCCTCGGCCGACTTGTGCGAGCTGTTACATTTATTGTGGAACTTTCACGTGGTAAACCACACGGAGTGAACATTTTTAAAAAATCTATATTTTATTGCTTGCTGCAACCACACACCACCTGGCACAAATATTTGAACAAAGGGCCATTGATGTTTCTGTTGAGACAATTCCAAAGGTCCTTCAATGATGTTTACGTTGTTCTTGCCTTCTGATAATATAATGGCGTGCTCCTGATGAGCCGTCCCTGGATTTACAGTGTCCCTGAACAATGCCTCTTTTTAAATATTATCGCCACTTGCTCCAAATTTGATCCCCTTCGCACTATCTGGCATCATGTCATGAGACCAAGTATCCATTCAGGTCTCACATGCAACCATGCATCCCTTCCTGTTGTAGAACGGTCCAGGGAAAGAAATATCTCAAGAGCTTTCTTAATTTAACCTCTGGTCCAAACAGTGGAGGAGGGATGTATTTTCCCCGCGGGCTCTGCATTTGACTCATGGGAGTCAAACCCATATTTAAATTTTCAGAGCTGCAATTTAGTCAAAGTAAGTGTGGCACAAAATATAATGTGATGGTTTTTTACAGTCATTCAATGGTGACTGAACTGCTTCTTTGAGGGCAGATGGGATTTATATAACGTGTGAACTGGTGGGCAGTGGTGGCGCTGTGGTTAAGGCAATGCGCTTTGAACCCAGTGACCTGAATTCCTTTCCCGCCAATGGCTAACATTGTGTAAGTGATATCTGAACCGGTCCTGTGCCTCCCTGAGCTAATGTGCATTTAGCTAAATATGATGAATTAGTCCATGCAAATTTAAACATAGCTCTAGGCAGGAGACGACTGTGAGAGCAAAGTATTACCCAGTATGTTGATGCTTGAAGGTTGATGGCAAATTATACCCCACTGGGATCTGGAGGGTTACTCAACTTGCACGAATAAACACTGCACATTTGTATTCATCGCGATGAACTATGGTCAAACATCCCCCATGGTGCAGTGATGTGCGAGGCCTTTTTCCAGTCCAGCAGTGCGTTTACAAATGGGCTGTAAATTATTAACTGTATTTTGATAAAACGGGTGGAATGTTCCTGTGCATTGTTTCATACACTAGGTGGCACCATGATCCACGCTCTTGTCTCAGTGCTTGAATTAAAGCCATCCTCCCACATTCTTACGAATGCTGCCTAATAACTGCAAAATATACAATTGGTTAATGTTGCAGGTAGTGACCCCTATCCAGAGCAGTGAGAGAAAGGGTAGAGATTGGCTGATGTTCAGTTGGAGATTGCATTTTACACTGGGGTCCTGAGAAAAGTGGCACATAAGTCAATATTTGCCCATTTTCAGACATTTTAACCTGTTGGTGCAATCGCCATCGTGCCATGTGGACAAAGTATCCATTCGCATTCACCGTGGAGCAGTGCAGTGTTAGCGAACGGCCCACGGAAATGGATATCGCAGAGCTACCTCTGAAATGCTGGGAAGTTTGATGAAAATTTACATAAACAGTTTTTAATTGACGTACGAGCAGTTTTTAGTCTTAACTTAAAAGTGTAATCCTAGAAGAATTTAAATTCTCATCTCTGACAGTACTACTGCATTTTCTGTGAAAAGGAAGTGGCTGGGCCTCTGTCTTCTGTAAGCTTCAGGATTTGCATGCCTGTAGCGCTGAAATGGTAAAGTGTGTCGGCGCTCTTTAAACCGTGTGATTCGCATTTATAAAGTTTAAATGCAACGTACTGCATCTCAAAACGCTGTAGAGACACAGGCGGGCATGCGCATTATATAGAGAGGCAACCAGAAAATGGAAGGCCTCCAGCTTGGATTTGAACGGGGGGGGGGGGTGGTGGGGGGGGGGGGGAGTCGACAGCACATGTCGCTGGGGGAGGAGAGTTCCGGACGTGTGACTGGAGGCTTTGCCAGAAATCAGAATATTTATGCTGGAGGAATCCGACGGGCTGTCAAGCTTTTTTTTCACAGATGTCCAGTAGGGGCACGGGGTCAGAGCGTCACAAACAACAAGCTATACAAAAACACAATCGGAGTGGAAAGTATAGGAAAGATAAACAAATTACTTACAAAAAATATACGAATGAAACTGCACTATTTTTTTAAATATCGTTCCAGGTAAAGCCCACGAAGCTATTAGCTTCTTTTTCAGAAGTGACCTGGCCACAAGTGATAGCTCAACGAAAGTGGCTTATCACGTGCAAATTTAAAAGGAAGGCCTTGGTTGGCGGAGCGCAGGGCCCATGGAGGGCAGTAGAGCGCAGTGAGAGAGGATGAGGCAGCAGCCAGGGCTCCGTGAACTCTTCCCGGGCTGCTAACGTTTTACCAAACTGTGGATTGTTAATTTAGCAGCTGACTTATGAGTGAAATGAATTGTCTTTCCCTGGAATTTCTGCAAACTTTAGCAGTTTAAGAAGTAGGTCAAGGACTCAACCTTTCCTTCATTATATCTCTGCAGGGATGTTATTCATTTTGAGCGTTTTTACACCTTCATTCAAATTTTTTGCGACTGCATTTTTTTCTTGATAGTAACCAACCCCCCCCCCGCCCCACGACTGCCCCCCATCCCCTGTCCCGCTCACCCAACTCCGTTGCGATGATTGATACGGAGGGCGGGGAGGGTCTGTCTCATCGGCCAGAGGATCGCCCACCCGCACGGTCACACAGAAACCAGTACAAACCGTTCTTCACTCCTCCGAACTTGTCTGGAGAGTGGTGCGCCATAGCGACACCGTCCTCAATTCTCATCATCCTCTGGGGGCGCACATTGTTCATCCCCCTCCTTGCCGTTGCTTCCTTGACTCTCTGTGGAACAGAAATGCAGTTGAACCAGACAGTCACTTCTTTCAAGGATGAACTTTCAGAGGACTGTCACGGACGACTGAGTTGGTGTTCGTCCTTTGGCTCGTATGGGTTTCTTTTTGGTTAGATCGTGCAGTGTATAATGTCAACTTTGTTTAGTTTAACCGTCCACTACCTGCCGAAGCCAATAAATTTATCATGTCATGGGTAAACAAGTGAATTGATTTGTTATATCAGCAAAACCGGAGTGATGAAAAGAAAACAACATTTTGACCTTTGATTTGACGTTTCACTGGAGATTACAACCAGCGACAACAGGCGTTTAACAAAAGCTCAGCACTTCACCGTGGCATCCCTGTATTTCGCTCCATGTGCTCTGAGCTTTTGCAGGAATTGAACTGTGAGCAGCTCGTGCTCTCCCTAGGGTAAATATCGCATAGCCGGCCGATGTTGTTGTTTCTGGTTCACGATGCTGCTCGGTTCAGTTCCTGAAGATGCTCTCAGCAAGTGAAGCGAAACGTCGGACATTGTGCCCAACAATACGCGGTACAACTTGAATCGACACCGGTCAGCTTTACGGCACTACCGCAGTGGTATTTTCTCCTCTTCGTATCCACCAACCCATCAGCCGTTTCGCAAGAGGTCGTTAACTGAGCAACCACAAAAACCCTCAAGGCACCGAATCTTTCACGCGATGCTTCCAGGACACGGAGTTGCTCGTGTTCCTCTATCCGCACGCTGGACTTGGTGACGTGTGGCCACAAGTGTGATGTGTGCCTTGGGTCGGCCGAATGTGAGCCGCCAAAACTCAACTCATAAAGCCGTTTGCATGGCAGCGGCCAAATTAATGATGCAGCACGGAGGGCTATGAACGACGGCGATCCAGAGCCAGCAGTCTACTCTTGCTAACGCTCGGTTCTAAACTAATCAATTTTAGTGACCATCGCAATACCCCCCCCCACCCAGCCACCTTCACTCCGCACATCGAGGAGCGGCGAAGACCACGGCACAACCATCACCATAATCTGCATCATCGGTCTTCATCTTTAGCATTGTCATCTCCATAATTGACCGTCATTGTCATATTTGCAGTTTTTAAATGTATTATGTACGCATCTTCATTTTGACAATTGCACGGCCCAGCCATCATCATTGTCATGCGCGTTATCCTTGCCGTCATCACCCCTGCTGTTTGAAAATATTTTTATATGTGCATCATCATCGTCATAAGCAGCATTAGCGTCCTCATCGTCAAATGTATACTGCCCCTTGCAGAGTTGTCTTTCACAATGTGCGCTGACTCTTATGTTCCAACATACATGATTTGTTGATGTCTTGATTAAGAATTATTTTTCAATTCAATATTTTTCACCGTAGTTTCTTACGTTTGAATTGTTATTCTTATTACTACTACGCTCTTTATTTAGGAAAGCCTCAGCGAGTGTCACGGCTCACTTTCGGGGAGGGTCCTGCCAAGTTTTTTTGCAGTAGGAGCCGACGATTGCCGAGAATACTTCCCAACCGAGTGAGCTAATGTGCCACCGTGGCAACGGAGGCATCGTCCGGACGTCTCCGCGCGAGCGTTCGAAGGGCGGCCCACGGGCACCGCCCGTCGTCTCACTTCCACCGTGCGTTTCGCCGCCCCCGTGCCGCCCTCCCCGCACGCAGACCTCGACCTGCGCTACTTCTGGCAGTGGAGCCGCTTCCTCGACTACCTCCAGTTCGTGGCGGCGTTCTCGCTGTTGGCAGCGAGCGCCACCTTCGCGCTGCTCGACCTGACAGCGTACGTCGAGGCCCTGGGCTTCCTGGCGACGTTCTCCGAGGCCATGCTCGGCACGCCGCAGCTCTACCGCAACTACCGCAACCGCTCTACCGAGGGCATGAGGTGCGTGGCTTTAGTAGGCATAGGCGGAGCCGCAGCACGACTTGGCAGGACCCTCCTGAGAAAGAGCCCTGGGACTCGGTGAGGCTTTTCCTGGGACGGCGGCACGAGCGGTGACGAAGGCTCTAGACGGCGGCGGTACCTAGGCTGCATGTGGAACGCTACGTTGGAACGTCCCGGGAATGGTTCGACTTCTACGATGGAACACTGGCTAACTCATTTGGGATTATACATAGCAGTGATTGCATCCCCATACTGTGACAAGTTCGGAGAGCCCATCTGAGTAAATAAGCCTCGAATGCTATGGTGGAAGATATAGGTCTGCCCCAGGAGTAAACCATATACCATGTCAGATCAATTTCACATCTTAATAAACATTGAGAGCCCATCGTTCTAATTGCACTTAAATACTTGTACAGTGAAACCTTGGATTGCGAGCGTAATTCGTTCCGGAAACGTGCTCGTAATCCAAAGCACTCGTATATCAAAGCGAAATAATGGAAAATTAGATGATTCGTTCCACAACCCAAAAATACTGTATTCATATAAAAATGATGAATACAAAATACCTTTTTATATTTTTATTATTTAAATTTAATATAAAGTAATCTAATTTATTCATTACATTTAATCGTGGCTGGTGTGAGGGAGACGAGAGAGAGGAGAGGAGGAGGGTTATTGCGTAGGACGACTTTCACTTGAAGTACAGTTACTAAAGAACAGTCACAATACTTGGACACAAAATAAAAAAATGCTTTACGCACACGCACACGTGGTCACAACACTATATTGTAGTAAACAGTATACACGTGGTCACAACACTATAGTATTGTAGTAAATAGTACACACGTGGTCACAACACTATAGTACTGTTATGAACAGTATACACGTGGTCACAACACTATAGTACTGTAGTAAACAGTATACACGTGGTCACAACACTATAGTACTGTAGTAAACAGTACACACGTGGTCACAACACTATAGTACTATAGTAAACAGTATACACGTGGTCACAACACTATACTGTAGTAAACAGTATACACGTCACAACAACTATACTGTAGTAGACAGTATACACGTTGTCACAACACTGTAGTACTATAGTAAACAGTATACGCTCGCACGGATGTTGACTATACGAGTGAGGCATGCCGACTCAGACCAAGCATGGGAGATGATTACCCACAATCCCGCAGTGACAGAGAGAGAAGAACCATTGGCTCAGTTGTGATTACGTGACGCTTGGCAGACAAAGTGTGTACTGTACGTGCTGCTCGTACTGCAAGACATCGCTCATTTATCAAATTAATATTTATTTTAAAAAATTGCTCATCTTGCAAAACACTCGCAGACCAAGTTACTCGCAATCCAAGGTTTCACTCTAATTGTTATTAGTCTATTAACTTCATATATTAACACAACTGTGATACAATTATGTTTGTAGTCGCTGTAAAACATCTGTACCGTTGCAGGAGCCCATGAGATAGAACCTAGCAGTTAATTTTTTTCCCTTGCTGAAATAAATAAAAATCTATCCATCGATCTATGTGACGACCCCAGTGGACTGGCAGCACCCACTTATCCGGCCAGGTGGCTAAGAAGATTGCAATTAGCAGATCGCAAAAACAAATTCTGGTTAGAGTGTTGACTCAGCACATTATCCCTTCACGGTCCGTAAAATGATCACCACTTTGCGGGGAAGTCAAGTGGTTGTCCTGATGGTGAGCTGGTCCCTGCCGTATGAAGGTGGAATTCCCACCGCCTTGATGATCATTTTAGCAAGAAATCACTCTGGTGGCTCCTCCCGGTGTGATCTCTCCTCGTAGCAGTTTAATTCGGTCAGCTTCGTCGGCATCAAAGCCCGAGCCTTAAGGGCAAACTAAACAAGTGTAGGACATATCTTTCGGTAAAGTCACGTGACTTTACCGAAAGAGCTAAGAATAAGTGTAGGACAGTTTCGGTAAAGACTGTGATGCACAGATCATCTCAATGTTTTATTAAAATCCCCGAGGGAATGAATTCCCTTTTTTTGGGGGCACTGTCTTGATGAGACGGCAAAAGCTTTGTTAGACCCTGCGTATCTAAAAATATAAATATATACTATAAACAATCACCTTACAAGTGGATTATAATGACTTTAATTCTCAAACCAAATGAGGTTTGTGGCAGCCCTGCACCACATCCATCACAACCCTTGCCCCCGAAGTCAGGTGAAATGTAGAATTCTTTTTGATGTCCTCAATAACCATAATGGCTCTGACATGGCTTGTGGCACATCTGGATATGCCCAAATGAGATCTGTGTTATCATCTCTGCAAAGAGGTCAATCTGTTTACCTGCATCTATTTGAAAACAATTGATGTCATTTGCAAAATGGCTCTGGCAATTCTGTGCCGAACAGTGAAAGATTAAACACAAATAACAAGCGCAGGCCAGAGAGGCATGCAAGTTGAGTGCATACTCCTATGTGTTCAATGAAGAAAATAAGGCTTACAGAGCTTGCTGTCGCAAGCAAAGCAGTAATACGCAGTCTGGAGATTAATTTCTATTTTTGCTCAAATTATATTGTTCCTTTTGGACGATTAAATATGTTGTATGTTTAACACAATTACGATTCCCATCGTTCATTCGTTATATGTAAAGACAATCGGATGCAGTTTTTACATTTCTATTGCTGAGTGTAGATCTGAAAATAGGAAAGAAGTTACACAGTAGTGATTAATTCATTTATTAATTGTTTAAAGTGCTGGGTAACTTGACATCTTGGCTATTCCCAGTGTGAAAAATCGCATCTAAACTTGGCCTTAAAAAAGAAAAAATGCGAACTCTAGGATTTATCGTATTCAATAACTGACCCACATTTTTAGCTTTCTGCCTTTGTCCTTACGTCCAAACGTCCCATCCATTACCAGCGCTTCTGACGAACATTCATCTCGAACGTTCATCTAATTTTCATAGCACACTCTTTATGCACCGTTGTGGAACTCCGTTCAATCCATCCACATACGAATAATAAAAATATAATGTGCGTTGCCCGATCATCTTTTCACACGAATATTATCCAGCAGCATTTGTTTAAGCCAGCAAATGCTCTGCCACCGGATTCAACCATCTACATCTCATCAGCTCAAATCAGGCATGTTAAATAAATGCTGCTGGGTTTCCAGATGTTATTGGCAAGGGTGCTTCATCTAAACAATGGGGCCCTGTTGAAGACAAAATGGTAACACTGTGCAGTATACAAACTTATTATACTGGGTTTCCTTCTCAAATTAGAATTCCGGCAGTACTCACTCTATGTACAGCTCTGAGCCTTTTGCAGGAGCAAATCTATCCATAGGACAACCACTACAAAGTGGCCTTCATTTTTTTATGCTGGGCTGGGTGTATGTATGAATGTTTAACTTTTTTGCACCATACGTAGCCAACCGTGCTAATTGAAGGTGCGGGACGGAAGGACAAACTAAACGCTAAAAGCAGCTCTAAAGACAGTTTTCAATCTAGATTCAAAAGTGCAAAGCTCCGGTGGCTTCCTAACGACCGGGTGAACGCCCAATCAGAGTTTGAAGTGGCAACCTTGTTATTGCGGGCCGCTCGCTCCATCGCCGATCCACCCGGCTGGTTCGTGCACGTGATGCGTCATGGTGGCGCATGCGACGCGTCGCCTTGGCGCGTCGCACGCGACGCGTCGCCATAGCGACGCCGCGTCGTTTGTCATTGCCCCCTTTGCCGTCGGAGTGGCGAGAAGCGCCACGTTGCCCTCAAGAGAGGAGCGCTCTCGTGTTAAAACGATGGCTCCGCTTCGATTTGACCCCCCCCCCCCCCCCACCACCGGAAGTGTGGATGCGAGAGACTGGACGGACGAAGCGGTGGCCATTTGAGGGGGAGTTAAACCGCTCTATTTTCGCTGCCTGTGCAAATTACGGACCGGCGCTCATTTTGTACTCGCACGTCCCTTCCCCTTAAGTGTTTCCGGTAAAAGCTAAAAATATTGCCTTGTAAAATTTTCCATGGGTGAGCTATGAGGTTTGAATTCATATTCGTGGTGCAATCTCACGTGGATTAGCTTATTAAGATGGACTCTCAATCTCACGATACGTGCGGTGGGTTGTGCGTGGGTGTTTATTTATTTATGTATTGTGTGACCCCTACAGCCATCGGGGGGTGCTGCCATTCACTGCTATGTAAAACACAAATCGGAAGGCGGTTATGGGGATGGGTGGCAGTTATCTGCAATATCAGGGGCCCCAAAGCAAGACCACAGCTTGCATTAGGGGGTCTGGAGTCTATCGGGGATCTGTAAAAAGGCTAAGGAATCCATTTCAATTTAGGTAAAGGTTGAACAGGCACACACGTCGTCACTATCCGCACACGGGCGCTTTCCTACTGCCTCCCTAGCGCCTATTTAACACTGACCTACAGTGATCTGGCCTGGCAGTTAATTTATTTGTCTTGTGGTCAGGGTTTGCATCCAAAATACAGTTCTATCGATCATGTCTAGGGCTTTATTTTATGAAAATTTTCTGAATCGGTAATTGATTTGCAAAGTCACAGAATCGGTAATCAAATGCAGTTCAGTTTGTGACTGATGAACCTAACTGAACGTTAAAACCGCACGGCGCGCTCAAATGTAATTGGTCAGCGGCCATCATCATAATGGACATTTGTGGAAAATAGCTTTATAGCTAATCAGATTCCTCCAGTATAAATAAATATTCTGATTCTGATAATGCACACTCACCATGACGCACCGCATAGTACGATTCAATGGACACAGCGGGGCTAGAATTATTCTCTTTATTGTTAAGACATTTCGATCGCTGCTGTGCGACCAACTGACAGTTGATTTTTCTCATTTTTTTGTGTGCATGCAATTACGGATAATACTAAAAAAAGTAAATTAGCAGCCCTAATAGTGCGATGTCCTCTCCCCCGTTGGCCACACGTGGATTCGGTCATATGAGTCGCGTCCGTGTCGCGAGTCAACGATGAACGCGAAT